CTAGAGGTCTTGGGAAGATTGCTTTCCTCTTAGGGGAGCTTTGTGGTAAGTGTCGCTGGGAAACCATTGTTTGTTGGTATTTGCAGGGGAATTGAATCATTCCAGCAGGGTTTCTTAGGTGGTGCAGGATTTCATCCATCCACAGTATGGTTGAGCACGAACCAACAAATCGGCCACAGACCACTCGGACGGGCCAGAAATCGGAACGCAACAAACGTCGGGGATTCGCAGGCGCGAGGCAAGCGAGAGCGACGAGCATGACCGTGACCGCGACAAAGAGCGCGACGGTGCAGAGGTGGGGTGCCCGAGTTTCTCCGTGCTTGAAACGTGCGGTTGGCTTCAGATCTGAAAGACCACGCCTCAACACAGTTTTACTTGTCTCTTGCGAGTCACGTTAAAGGTGTGGGAGTCAGCAGTTCCGGGGCAAAGGCTTTGGTGCGGCGGTGAGCCTTCGCTCGAGAGTTGAATTTCCTTCCCCAGCTCCGAATACATTCGATTTCAGCAGTTGTGATTCAGTTGCAACGTCACCTCGCTGTACACGGTGACCTTCACACCGAGCAAAGCCCAAATGTGTGAAACTCGACCCACTGGAATGCGGTGTTCAAGTCATAGGCATTGTTTGGGAATTATGTCCTTTGAGGGGGGGGGGACTGTCTGAAAAGACACTATTTGCACCCGGAGAAGCTCTGTTCAGACTGATGTCAAGCAGACGTGGATGTTCAGCACAGGGCAGTGAAGTCAGCTTGAAGCTTGAAATGACCTTCAAGAAAAGGCTGGCCCAAAGAAGGTCTGTGGCATGTGAAATGTCAAAGCCAGGGCTCCAAAGAGTTGGCAAACCGTCGATTGAGTCGGTAGCTACGAGACTCCCTTGCGGCCCAGGCCCGGACGAAGCGCCAGCGGCAAGGCTGGCTGCTTTTGCGTCAAGGAGTTTTGAGGGTTGATTCTACCAAGGATGATTTTAGGCAGATGACATGTCTAGTAGTGGCTCTTGTTTGACACTTTTCTGGATGCATCCAACCGAATTATTCATCAGCTTTGGAGGGCAGTTCTACAGAGGGCGCCTTTCCCATGAATCACGGGCAGCTCCGAGTATCCAGATTCATCTTTCCGGGAAAGCAACCATGTCAGAGTTTCCCAAACGCATGGAGAGCAAGGTCGTCGTTTGTATCACCACTTCTTGGGCCACGTAAAAGGCGGCACCCTCCGAGTAAAGGTCTTGACTGTGAATTAGTTCTCCGAAGTCTGAAAAGACAAGCACGGATTGCCACAGTCTCAGTTCTGAGTTTCTGGAACTCATGGCGGGCTTTGGTCTCTCATGACGCTGGATTCAGATGAACTTTCTCCCGGGTTTGGAATTAAATGGAGCTCCTCGTGCTCCCTGCCTCATCCTTTCAGGGACCTTTCCTGCTCCAAGCGCCCACCCTGGAAACGATGTCGGCTGGAAGTGTGGCATGGGGAGAGTGGCAGCTTCTCAGCTCGGGGCAGCCGGTCCATCCAGCGAACATGGGACTGGTCATGCACGGAAGCCAGCTACAATGGCATGATTAGACTTGGACCATTGTGGGAGGTTTCGGGCTGGGCTAGCAAGAAGCTGCTAACTCAATCACACACTGATTCAACATGGTCGAAAGGCTATTCGTGTTTGGGCCTTCGCCCGCCTTCACGGGAAGATGACCGTCATGTTTGCTTGGACCTTTCCGATGTTCTCGCGACCGGAGAGCCGCAGGCTATAGCAGCGGCATGAGAGGCTGGAGCAGCGAGGAGCTCCAAACATGCTTAGTCTTGCGTGCGCAGTCTGTGCGACCTCGGTGTTTTTCGCAAGTGGTTGTTCGCGCGAGCCATTGCGGGTGAGTGAAGTTGAACATGTGCCAGCGCGAAGTAGCTGATGGCTTTGAGCAAGGTGAGTCTACCCTTTCAGGAGAGCGACAGCGACCACGAAGCCCAGGAGAGGACTGCCACCGTGCAACGATTTGCACTGAGTTGACCACGCCGAAGCCGATTTGCATGATGCTCTGACTCATGCAAAAGGGTCGGTCGAGTGGGTGACCACATGCGTTTTCCTCTCTCTGAGCATTCCAGAGCGACTGCAAGCAATGTGATATGGGTCAAAATTAGACCACGAGGTCTTTTTGACAGCAGGAGTTTTAGTCCTTGGTTGCATTTACACGGTTCCATGATACCCATGTTCCATTTTACCCAGGCTCTATGTCGGCAGGAATTTTCAGTCCCATGTTACCCAGGTTACATTTCCCAGGGCTTCATGTCGGGTACCGGGTTTTTGATCCACGCTCATGTCATCTCGAATGGGGTTCCTTCTGGCTTTTTCGGAGGTTCCCGTCTCATGGTGCAGGAGGCCGCAAAAGGGTGAGCGCGTCATGAAAGGTGGCGGACTCAATGGGTGACTGACTATACAGCCTCAGTGGGTTGGGCATGGTGTCATTTTTGACAAACCTTGGAGCTGACATTGGAAGGTGTATCCTCCGTGCTCACTGGGAAACCCCCGCCGGAACCCACTTCCAGGGGCAAGAGGGTAGGAACTCTTGAGACTCTACTGAACACCTTGTCTCTCTCGTGCTGAACATTTTGGCGCTTTTGTGGCCTCCTCCGGCTCAAAAGATCCATCCGCCTTCTCAGGTCGCGGCTTCTTGCCGGAGGTGGGATCGGAGATGTCTGGGTTTTTCTCCTCACGACTCGCGCGACGTCGAAGTCCGGGACTGCAAAAACAACTTACAAATTCCGGTCGGCCCAAGGGCCGAAAGGCTGAAAAACTCTATTCCATTGGAGGTGCATCGATGAAGGCCCGGAGACACTTTGCGCTTTCGGTTTGGTTCCGTTTGCCCCTGCCTCTTGAAGAGCCTGGCGGATGGAACATCCACCAGCAAGCCCGTATAACTCAGATGGGTATGGCTCCAGGTTTTAGTCTTTGGTTCCATTACCAAGGTACCATTTTGGTACCACTTTTGTTAGCCACAGCCACATGACAGCAGAGAGCTTGCCACTTGCCAGGCAGCTCCTCCCAAGATGGAGGTGGGAACGTTGCCTCGGCCGCGAGCGGCTTCGCAGTCTTGAGCTGTGGAGTCATGGGCAACAGAGAGAGAGGGAGGGAGACAGGGAGAGAACGAAAGACAGACAGACAGACAGACAGACAGACAGACAGACAGACAGACAGGCAGGCAGGCAGGCAGGCAGGCAGAAAGAAAGAAAGAAAGAAAGAAAGAAAGAAAGAAAGAAAGAAAGAAAGAAAGAAAGAAAGAAAGAAAGCACAAAATAAAGAAAGAAACAAAGAAAATAAGGAACAAAAAGAAAGAAATAAAGAACATGAGAAAGAAAGAAATAAACAAAGAAAGAGAGAGAGAAAGAAATAAAGAAAGAAAGAAGTAAAGAAAGAACGAAATAAAGAAAGACCGACAGACAGAAAGAAGGAAAGAAAGAAAGAAAGAAAGAAAAAAAGAAAGAAAAAAGGAAAGAAATAAAGAAATAAAGAAAGAAAGAAAGAAAGAAAGAAAGAAAGAAAGAAAGAAAGAAAGAAAGAAAGAAAGAAAGAACGAAATACAGAAATCAAGAACAACATACACAGAGAGAGAGAGAGACAAGCAAAGTGCGATGCAGGATTAACACAATTCCAGATGAGATCAGGGTTGAAGGAAAGGAGCATGAAGGAGAGACAGAGCATGAGAGCAATGGGAGGGAGCTTGGCGCAACGGACCCCCGGGCCTGTGCTTGACACATGAGCGCCATGGCCCCTAGACCGAGCGCCACATGAGACCCGTGCACCGTGTTGCGGCGGGACCTGCGTGTGGCCCTGTCCGTGTCAATTGATGCCGGGACATTTGTGGGGAGAGAAGTTGTACACGCGTTGATGCGCAAGTACTGGTGCTGCCGGCCGTGAGGAGTTTCACTGAGCAATAACCTGACTGCAGAATGACGAGTGCAGTTTCAACGTCCAGAAGCTGAGCCTTTCCAGCAGTGTTGCCGGAAAAACATGTAATAACAGGTTTGAAGAAATGAGCATGAAGGAGAGACAGAGCATGAGAGCAATGGGGGCGAGCTTGGCGCAACGGACCCCCGGGCCTGTGCTTGACACATGAGCGCCACGGCCCCTATACGGAGCGCCACATGAGACCCGTGCACCGTGTTGCGGCGGGACCTGCATGTGGCCCTGTCCGTGTCAATTGATGCCGGGACATTTGTGGGGGGAGAAGTTTTACACGCGTTGGAGCGCAAGTACTGATGCTGCCGGCCGTGAGGAGTTTCACTGAGCAATAACCTGACTGCAGGATGACGAGTGCAGTTTCAACGTCCAGAACCTGAGCCTTTCCAGCAGTGCTGCCGGACACGTAGTATCAGGGTTGAAGGAAAGCAGATTGAAGGAGACACAGAGCATGAGAGCAATGGGAGGGAGCTTGGCGCAACGGACCCCCGGGCCTGTGCTTGACGCATGAGCACCGTGGCCCCTATACCGAGCGCCACATGAGACCCGTGCACCGTGTTGCGGCGGGACCTGCATGTGGCCCTGTCCGTGTCAATTGATGCCGGGACATTTGTGGGGAGAGAAGTTTCACGCGCGTTGGTGCGCAAGTACTGGTGCTGCCGGCCGTGAGGAGTTTCACTGAGCAATAACCTGACTGCAGGATGATGAGTGCAGTTTCAACGTCCAGAAGCTGAGCCTTTCCAGCAGTCCTGCCGGAAGCGCATGTAATAACAGGTTTGAAGGCAATGAGCATGAAAGAGAGACAGAGCATGAGAGCAATGCGAGTGAGCTTGGCGCAACGGACCCCCGGGCCTGTGCTTGACACATGAGCGCCATGGCCCCTATACGGAGCGCCACATGAGACCCGTGCACCGTGTTGCGGCGGGACCTGCATGTGGCCCTGTCCGTGTCAATTGATGCCGGGACATTTGTGGGGGGAGAAGTTTTACACGCGTTGGAGCGCAAGTACTGATGCTGCCGGCCGTGAGGAGTTTCACTGAGCAATAACCTGACTGCAGGATGACGAGTGCAGTTTCAACGTCCAGAACCTGAGCCTTTCCAGCAGTGCTGCCGGACACGTAGTATCAGGGTTGAAGGAAAGCAGATTGAAGGAGACACAGAGCATGAGAGCAATGGGAGGGAGCTTGGCGCAACGGACCCCCGGGCCTGTGCTTGACGCATGAGCACCGTGGCCCCTATACCGAGCGCCACATGAGACCCGTGCACCGTGTTGCGGCGGGACCTGCATGTGGCCCTGTCCGTGTCAAATGATGCCGGGACATTTGTGGGGAGAGAAGTTTCACACGCGTTGCTGCGCAAGTACTGATGCTGCCGGCCGTGAGGAGTTTCACTGAGCAATAACCTGACTGCAGGATGACGAGTGCAGTTTCAACGTCCAGAAGCTGAGCCTTTCCAGCAGTGCTGCCGGACACGTAGTATCAGGGTTGAAGGAAAGCAAATTGAAGGAGACACAGAGCATGAGAGCAATGGGAGGGAGCTTGGCGCAACGGACCCCCGGGCCTGTGCTTGACGCATGAGCACCGTGGCCCCTATACCGAGCGCCACATGAGACCCATGCACCGTGTTGCGGCGGGACCTGCATGTGGGCCTGTCCGTGTCAATTGATGCCGGGACATTTGTGGGGCGAGAAGTTTTACACGCGTTGATGCGCAAGTACTGGTGCTGCCGGCCGTGAGGAGTTTCACTGAGCAATAACCTGACTGCAGGATGATGAGTGCAGTTTCAACGTCCAGAAGCTGAGCCTTTCCAGCAGTGCTGCCAGAAGCGCATGTAATAACAGGTTTGAAGGCAATGAGCATGAAGGAGAGACAGAGCATGAGAGCAATGCGAGTGAGCTTGGCGCAACGGACCCCCGGGCCTGTGCTTGACACATGAGCGCCATGGCCCCTATACGGAGCGCCACATGAGACCCGTGCACCGTGTTGCGGCGGGACCTGCATGTGGCCCTGTCCGTGTCAATTGATGCCGGGACATTTGTGGGGAGAGAGGTTTGACACGCGTTGGTGCGCAAGTACTGGTGCTGCCGGCCGGGAGGAGTTTCACTGAGCAATAACCTGACTGCAGGATGACGAGTGCAGTTTCAACGTCCAGAACCTGAGCCTTTCCAGCAGTGCTGCCGGACACGTAGTATCAGGCTTGAAGGAAAGGAGATTGAAGGAGACACAGAGCATGAGAACAATGGGAGGGAGCTTGGCGCAACGGACCCCCGGGCCTGTGCTTGACGCATGAGCACCGTGGCCCCTATACCGAGCGCCACATGACACCCGTGCACCGTGTTGCGGCGGGACCTGCATGTGGCCCTGTCCGTGTCAAATGATGCCGGGACATTTGTGGGGAGAGAAGTTTTACACGCGTTGCTGCGCAAGTACTGATGCTGCCGGCCGTGAGTTGTTTCACAGCAATAACCTGACTGCAGGATGACGAGTGCAGTTTCAACGTCCAGAAGCTGAGCCTTTCCAGCAGTGCTGCCGGAAGCACGTAGTATCAGGGTTGAAGGAAAGCAAAATGAAGGAGAGACAGAGCATGAGAGCAATGGGAGGGAGCTTGGCGCAACGGACCCCCGGGCCTGTGCTTGACGCATGAGCACCGTGGCCCCTATACCGAGCGCCACATGAGACCCGTGCACCGTGTTGCGGCGGGACCTGCATGTGGCCCTGTCCGTGTCAATTGATGCCAGGACATTTGTGGGGAGAGAAGTTTCACGCGCGTTGGTGCGCAAGTACTGGTGCTGCCGGCCGTGAGGAGTTTCACTGAGCAATAACCTGACTGCAGGATGATGAGTGCAGTTTCAACGTCCAGAAGCTGAGCCTTTCCAGCAGTGCTGTCAGAAGCGCATGTAATAACAGGTTTGAAGGAAATGAGCATGAAGGAGAGACAGAGCATGAGAGCAATGGGGGCGATCTTGGCGCAACGGACCCCCGGGCCTGTGCTTGACACATGAGCACCATGGCCCCTATACCAAGCGCCACATGAGACCCGTGCACCGTGTTGCGGCCGGACCTGCATGTGGCCCTGTCCGTGTCAATTGATGCCGGGACATCTGTGGGGAGAGAAGTTTTACACACGTTCATGCGCAAGTACTGGTGCTGCCGGCCGTGAGGAGTTGCACTGAGCAATAACCTGACTGCAGGATGATGAGTGCAGTTTCAACGTCCAGAAGCTGAGCCTTTCCAGCAGTGCTGTCGGAAGCGCATGTAATAACAGGTTTGAAGGAAATGAGCATGAAGGAGAGAGAGAGAGCATGAGAGCAATGGGGGCGAGCTTGGCGCAAAGGACCCCCGGGCCTGTGCTTGAGGAGTTTCACTGAGCACTAACCTGACTGCAGGATGACGAGTGCAGTTTCAACGTCCAGAAGCTGAGCCTTTCCAGCAGTTCTGCCGGAAACATTTATTATCAAGGTTGCAGGAAAGGAGCATGAAGGAGACACAGAGCATGAGAGCAATGCGAGGGAGCTTGGCGCAACGGACCCCCGGGCCTGTGCTTGACACATGAGCGCCATGGCCCCTATACCGAGCGCCACATGAGATCCGTGCACCGTGTTGCGGCGGGACCTGCGTGTGGCCCTGTCTGTGTCAATTGATGCCGGGACATTTGTGGGGAGAGAAGTTCTACACGCGTTGATGCGCAAGTACTGATGCTGCCGGCCGTGAGGAGTTTCACTGAGCAATAACCTGACTGCAGAATGATGAGTGCAGTTTCAACGTCCAGAAGCTGAGCCTTTCCAGCAGTGCTGCCGGAAACACGTAGTATCAGGGTTGGAGGAAAGGAGAATGAAGGAGACGCAGAGCATGAGAGCAATGGGGCCGAGCTTGGCGCAACGGACCCCCGGGCCTGTGCTTGACGCATGAGCACCATGGCCCCTATACCGAGCGCCACATGAGACTCGTGCACCGTGTTGCGGCGGGACCTGCGTGTGGCCCTGTCCGTGTCAATTGATGCCGGGACATTTGTGGGGAGAGAAGTTCTACACGCGTTGATGCGCAAGTACTGCTGCCGGCCGTGAGGAGTTTCACTGAGCAATAACCTGAGCATGAGAGCAATGGGGGCGAGCTTGGCGCAACGGACCCCCGGGCCTGTGCTTGACGCATGAGCACCATGGCCCCTATACCGAGCGCCACATGAGACTCGTGCACCGTGTTGCGGCGGGACCTGCGTGTGGCCCTGTCCGTGTCAATTGATGCCGGGACATTTGTGGGGAGAGAAGTTCTACACGCGTTGATGCGCAAGTACTGCTGCCGGCCGTGAGGAGTTTCACTGAGCAATAACCTGACTGCAGGATGATGAGTGCAGTTTCAACGTCCAGAAGCTGAGCCTTTCCAGCAGTGCTGCCGGAAGCGCATGTAATAACAGGTTTGAAGGAAATTAGCATGAAGGAGAGACAGAGCATGAGAGCAATGGGGGCGAGCTTGGCGCAACGGACCCTCGGGCCTGTGCTTGACACATGAGCACCATGGCCCCTAGACCGAGCGCCACATGAGACCCGTGCACCGTGTTGCGGCGGGACCTGCGTGTGGCCCTGTCCGTGTCAATTGATGCCGGGACATCTGTGGGGAGAGAAGTTCTACACGCGTTGATGCGCAAGTACTCATGCTGCCGGCCGTGAGGAGTTTCACTGAGCAATAACCTGACTGCAGGATGACGAGTGCAGTTTCAACGTCCAGAAGCTGAGCCTTGACAGCAGTGCTGGCGGAAACATGTAGTATCAGGGTTGAAGGAAAGCAAAATGAAGGAGACACAGAGCATGAGAGCAATGGGAGGGAGCTTGGCGCAACGGACCCCCGGGCCTGTGCTTGACGCATGAGCGCCATGGCCCCTATACGGAGCGCCACATGAGACCCGTGCACCGTGTTGCGGCGGGACCTGCATGTGGCCCTGTCCGTGTCAAATGATGCCGGGACATTTGTGGGGAGAGAAGTTTCACACGCGTTGCTGCGCAAGTACTGATGCTGCCGGCCGTGAGGAGTTTCACTGAGCAATAACCTGACTGCAGGATGACGAGTGCAGTTTCAACGTCCAGAACCTGAGCCTTTCCAGCAGTGCTGCCGGACACGTAGTATCAGGGTTGAAGGAAAGCAGATTGAAGGAGACACAGAGCATGAGAGCAATGGGAGGGAGCTTGGCGCAACGGACCCCCGGGCCTGTGCTTGACGCATGAGCACCGTGGCCCCTATACCGAGCGCCACATGAGACCCGTGCACCGTGTTGCGGCGGGACCTGCATGTGGCCCTGTCCGTGTCAAATGATGCCGGGACATTTGTGGGGAGAGAAGTTTCACACGCGTTGATGCGCAAGTACTGATGCTGCCGGCCGTGAGGAGTTTCACTGAGCAATAACCTGACTGCAGGATGATGAGTGCAGTTTCAACGTCCAGAAGCTGAGCCTTTCCAGCAGTGCTGCCGGAAGCGCATGTAATAACAGGTTTGAAGGAAATGAGCATGAAGGAGAGACAGAGCATGAGAGCAATGGGGGCGAGCTTGGCGCAACGGACCCCCGGGCCTGTGCTTGACGCATGAGCACCATGGCCCCTATACCGAGCGCCACATGAGACTCGTGCACCGTGTTGCGGCGGGACCTGCATGTGGCCCTGTCCGTGTCAATTGATGCCGGGACATTTGTGGGGAGAGAAGTTTCACACGCGTTGATGCGCAAGTACTGGTGCTGCTGGCCGTGAGGAGTTTCACTGAGCAATAACCTGACAGCAGGATGACGAGTGCAGTTTCAACGTCCAGAAGCTGAGCCTTTCCAGCAGTGCTGCCGGAAGCACGTAGTATCAGGTTTGAAGGAAAGGAGCATGAAGGAGACACAGAGCATGAGAGCAATGGGAGGGAGCTTGGCGCAACGGACCCCCGGGCCTGTGCTTGACACATGAGCACCGTGGCCCCTATACCGAGCGCCACATGAGACCCGTGCACCGTGTTGCGGCGGGACCTGCGTGTGGCCCTGTCCGTGTCAATTGATGCCGGGACATGTGCGTTGATGCACAAGTACTGATGCTGCTGGCCGTGAGGAGATTCACTGAGCAATAACCTGACTGCAGGATGACGAGTGCAGTTTCGACGTCCAGAAGCTGAGCCTTTCCAGCAGTAGAGCATGAGAGCAATGGGAGGGAGCTTGGCGCAACGGACCCCCGGGCCTGTGCTTGACACATGAGCACCATGGCCCCTATACCGAGCGCCACATGAGACCCGTGCACCGTGTTGCGGCGGGACCTGCATGTGGCCCTGTCCGTGTCAATTGATGCCGGGACATTTGTGGGGAGAGAAGTTTTACACGCGGTGATGCACAAGTACTGATGCTGCCGGCCGTGAGGAGTTTCACTGAGCAATAACCTGACTGCAGAATGATGAGTGCAGTTTCAACGTCCAGAAGCTGAGCCTTGCCAGCAGCGCTGCCGGAAACACGCAGTATCAGGGTTGCAGAAAAGGAGCATGAAGGAGACACAGAGCATGAGAGCAATGGGAGGGAGCTTGGCGCAACGGACCCCCGGGCCTGTGCTTGACACATGAGCACCGTGGCCCCTATACCGAGCGCCACATGAGACTCGTGCACCGTGTTGCGGCGGGCAAGCATGTGGCCCTGTCCGTGTCAATTGATGCCGAGACATTTTGTGAGTGGCAGGCCGGATGTTCCCAAGCCGACATCTTGACCAGTCTCTATGCAACGCTCCTTTTTCTTCGCATTCAGCGCAGAGGAAGGTCGAGACCTCACAACTCTTGCGGAGAGAGGTAGGTTATAGGGTCATTTACCGTACATCAACTGTTGCAGGGAAGAGTTCTCTCCGTGTCTCGCGCTTTTTTTCTTTTCTTCTTCTTTTTTTTTCCCCGCGCGCCTTTCAGGAGTCAGCGGTGCGCTGTAGGCCGGGGATGAGACAGGAAAAACGGGCACCCAGATTGAGCGGATCGGAAGTTTGGGCCGATCCCAGGTGAGTCACAATCAAAACCCGGGTAGATGCGGACAATCCCAACCATAGACAGCTGCGGCCGCCTTCATAATTCTTTACGTGGTTCTGGGTCGACCATTTTAATACCGGGTTTTGATTGTGACTCAGGTGAAAGCTTTCCTTTTGGGAGATTGAGGCGATGAAACGCCTGGCAAGTCGGAAGTCGGGTGTGCGGGTCTTCCTGGTGCGATAGGTAGGGAATGAGAAATGGAATAAACCAAGGGATTTCCGAATAAAGGAAACCATGGTTTATAGGGGTCCTTCCCTCATTTCCTGACGTGGAAAGGAAGCTGACGGGACATCAAGCACTTGCCAGCCAGCTGAAGGGCAAAACTCACTTGCGCACCTGGCCAGCAGATCTCATCTTGGTGACATTTGGGTCCATAGGTGTCCTTTTGGTTATTTTGGTCGAAAAATAGATGGCCCTGGTTTACCTGGTGGTTTAATCATCTAGGCCATCTACCCCTTGAAAACCAGCAAAAAGGGGTGGGTGGGGGGGGGGGGGCGTGCCAACTCCAAAAAAAGACGGAGAGCCGTTTTTTGTTTTGTTTTTGTTTTTTGTTTCTCGACCCGCGAAACTTCTTTGCGAGGTTGCGGGGTGACTATGAGCCCTATGCCATCGATCCTGACGTGTGGGCCTTGTCGCCTGGTGCGAAATCGGTAGGGAGTGAGACATGGAATGAACCGGGTCGGGATCCGAATAAAGTGTTTTTTTTTTTTGGGGGGGAGCAAGTTTGGGGGTACTAAGAAACCAGGTCCAGGACAGCACCACCCATGGAAGCATCAGTCGATGGCAAAGAGACGCGCTTTCAGGTCCGGATCAGAGTTCCCAGTTGTTTTTAAAGTTATTTTTGCTTAGAGACTTGGACAGGGTGCCTTGAAATCAGGGTGGTTTCAACAGAGATGCACATGGGAAGTCAACTTAGGGTCTGCAATTTTGACTAAATGCAGGACAAAGGCGACAATGGCGCATTTGCCTAGTAGCTAATTCGCCCTTTCAAGAGTGCATTGTACGCGCCTGCGCCACCCGCCCCATGTCTCACAGCAGGATACTTGGCGGCCGCACAGGAGTGCGGAGAAATGGGTGGTGTGTGTGTGTGTGTGGCTTAGAGTGAGTGCCCCTTCTGCAGCGGATGCGGTGCTTTCCAGTGAGAGAAAGCAGACAGGCTGAAGGTGTGCGGAGAGAGGTAACACAGAGACGGACCCAGAGTTGGCGATTCGATTTTTGTTTGAATGGGAGTTGGAGCTGAGACAATGCCTCGTCCTGACAGAAGCACTTTCTGAGGGATCTGGAACCCGATTCCCAGCCCGCAGGAAGCCATACGTCGAGTTGTTGCACGGCTGGGAGTGAACACCTCAGTCTGCTTTGCTCCTCATGGATCAAGCGGTGCGAGGGACTCACATGTGTCATTGTTTGGAGTTCGTTTGTCAAACAGAAAGCGCAGAATGATTTCAGGGGGTTTCCTTTTTGCTCGGACTTTCTTTTTTGTGAAGGCCCGGAGCTTTGTTGCGATCACTGAAAGTCACGGCGACGAGCTTGAGGACCTCACATCCGCTGCTGGTAAAGGCTCACATGGCTGCTCGGACCGATTCCACGTAGATGCTTCGAAAAATGGCAAAGCACTTTGGGTCTCTAAGTCTGGCTGAAAAGTTCGAAGCGAACAGGGGTCACCAGTTTTTCCCCATTAGAACGTTGATCAACTTATTGGTGTCCATTGAAACGATACAATTTTCCACTTTTGGAGGTTCCAACATACTCCATGTTTCAAAGTGGTGCAGGATTTTGTCCATCCACTGTAGGGAATGGCTCGGAGACTCAACCATGTGGCGTCGTTGTCGAGAATTGGTACCAGTTCCATGCCGCTCTCGCCATCGAGGTTCTCTCACGCCTGGAGCTTTGAGCCAGAGCACAACCCCAAGAGGCCGGCAAGCCATAGCGGGAAAAAAAAGAAAGAAGAAGAAAGACGCAATCATTTTCAGTGGGGAGGGAGATGGAGCCAATTTTTGGTCCGAAGCTCTTGGTACGTGCGTAAAACGAGAGAGCCACTTTTTCAGTGAGGGAGATGGAGCCCATTTTGGGTCCGAGCTATGAAGCCCTTGGTACATGCGTGAGCTATGCGGGTTTATGTTTGTGGCGAGCGCAAGATTGTCGTCCGCTGCAAGAGTCCATGAGGATTTCACATGTGCTCATGTTTGAGCCCGTTTTTTTGTTCATCACGCTGAAGGCTAGGCAACTCAACCATTGAGAGTGGTGGAATGAACGAAATATTGTCTTCCGCATCGCGATATGCGACTAATATTGTCGTCCATATCGGTGCGATATGCGACTAATATTGTCGTCCGCGTCGGTGCGATAGCCCCTTTCTCACGTGAGCCAAATCCCGGGTAGATGAAGCTTAGTAAAGGACGATTGCCATAAACAGCTGCGGATCTCCGCCTTCTCAATTCTTGAAGCATGGTTCTGGGATTCCGACCATTTTAGTACCGAATCGGTCTTGGTTGCAAGTGACTCAAATCAAACAAAAGCCCAAGACGCGCGCACAAAAATCTCGTGGCCCACGTCCGTCCGTAGGCCGCTGCCCTCGGCGGGTGATCCCGGGGGCGTGGCCACCTGGAGGGCGCGGCCTGAAAATGTTGGGTGGAGCAACGCCTGGCTTGGAAATGGGCGCGTTCTTTTTATGTGGTGGTGCCTCTTGTTGGCAGTGTTTTTTCCTATTTTTTGTTTCTTCTCTTTTTTTCTATTAATTTTTGGTGGTGCCTCTTTTTGGTTTTGTGGTTGTGTTTTTTAGGAATTCAAAAGGAAAACCGCCATTTGCGGGGTCCAACCGAAAAAAGAAAAAGAAAAGGACACACCCAAGTGGCCACAGGCTTTCCGCACGAATCCTCGCAAAGCAGAGGCTTTAGAATGGAGGACCCCTCTGGCTGATCTGAGTGTTGCCAATGGTCTACTGAGTCTACTGCGTATTCAGGTCACTACCAAGCAACACCGGGGGGCGGGGGGGTGTGGAGGGAGAGGGGGGGGGGGTTTGGGAGCAAGACACTATGGCTCACATGGGGTGATGGAATGTGTCGCACAGAAATGGACGTTGCAAATTAGATCTCATAGAAGCGCGCAGCGCCGGGTTTGGGCCATGTGCATGGCGTGGCTCAATCTCTTCTGGCAGGTGGAGCATGCGGCGGAACGCAGCTTCTTGGCCCCTCGGCGCAGAACGAGAGAGTTTGTTGGTTCACACGCAAAGAGTGCATGGCACCCGACTTCCACTTTTGTTTTTGACCTAGGTCCCCCAGTAGTGCCCTTTCACCGTTTCTTTTTTGGGTAGGGTTCCCCTACTCAAGTAGACTGCCGGAAAAATAAACGGCACCCTTATTCTAAGCTCTCAAATCTGGAGGACCTAGTGACACTCTGGAAGATCCATTCTTTCCAGGGATCCTTCTTTTCAGAAAACAGGGGAAACAGCTGGTTTTTGAGAAGAATGGTTGAAAATAATGGTTGGAATCGACCTTTAGAGTCAACTTTAGAGACTTCCACGAGTATTTTTCTGACACTATGGAAGATCCAGGCTTTGCAGCGGAGAAGTTGGCACGAGAGACGTCGCTTCGGGATGGCTCCGCAGGTGGCGCTGGGCGGCCAATCCCAGGAGATGCGGCGCTGGCTGGGGAGCGGGCGAGGCCCCGGCGAGGACGGGCGAGAAGGGGGGGGGGGCGCATCCGGTTTCTTCCGAGAAGTAAAGAAATAAGCAAAAAGCAACCCAGGTGGGAAGGATTCAAAAGTAAAAGCAATCCGGGTGGGAAGATTCTGAATTAACAAAACGCAATCCAGGTGGGAAGGATTCTGAAGGAGTTTCTAGTTTGCCAAGTAGAGATGCTCCAGCAAGTTTGACAGAAATCACTTGCAAAGAAGCCGAGGAGCTGCAAATTCGGGACCCTATCCCCAGCATGGTTCTCCAAACCCTTCTAATAGCTTCCTCTAAGAACCCCTTCAAAGAAGTGTTGAACATAGGTTGGTGAGCTTCGTTGTTCAACAGGACTGTTGAACCAACGCGGGAACAGCCTCTTCTTAAGACGATTATGTTTGTTTGAGTCAACCCAATTTTAGCTGAAGGAGTATTTGTTCACAATCAACTTTGTGGCTCAACTTCGACAAGCGGCCTTTCTCCCACGATTGAAGCTCAAAGTTTACAGGGGCCAGTTTTCTTCGGGTTAGGAGGCTTCATTCAGCTTTCAACGAGTTATCCCTTCCCAAACGCTACCTCTCCGCACCAACCCGGTTTGAGTGATGCCAGCACTTCCCTGCAAAAGCGGAAACTCAGATTCTCCAGACTACCACAAGGGTCGGGAGAGTGGGGTGTGGGCATCCTGTTGCTTGACAGCACGCTGCAGGAGCCCTACTTGTTGGAATTCAGGATCTTGGAGGCCGAGGAGTGCAGGGCCCAGAGAGGGCAAGGAATGCCAGACTTGTGGGTGGTGTGCTCCTTGCAAACCCAAGTCTTACCCTGGAAAAACCAATTCTTCGCAAGATCAGGGGTACAGAGGACTCCGTACATTGTGGATAGTTTGCCTGTTGCCAGTTGGGCCTGTTGCTTTGACTCCCTTTTCAAGGCATCCCTCCTCAGAGCGGGGATGCAGAGATTGATCCGACTCCCGAACTTTGTCATGTTGTTCAGGACCATTTTGGATGTGTCGTTTTTCAAGGTTGGCCTCCCAAAATGGTGATTTCGCCTTTGGTTTCCCTATAAAGCCAAAAACTTCAAACAGTACCCTCAAAAGAGGACACAGGCGTTTTTGCAGTCTTGCCTTTGAATCGTCAGACATTTCGAGGCTCCTTTGTCCTCTATCCTTTTGCCTTTGAGCCCCCTGGCTGAGCCAGGCAGTGGGAGTTCCGCTTTTCGCGATGCACAAAGCAGGCTGACGCAAAGTGGAGGCAGGGCGATTCTCTCACTCTGGGTTTTTTTTTTTCCTTTTTTTTTTTTTTCTCGAGGAAGCCACACCAGCTTCGCAGCACTCAAACCCTTAAATGAAGGCGAACGATGGTAGAAGCTCCACAGCGTCCAATGGATTATCATAGGGCAAGTCAGACCATGCAAGACCATATTCTTTTTGGGGGATCCCCCCTTCTTACTGGCCCTTGTTGATCCTTGATTTTTGTCTCCAAATATGGGGACCCCCCAAAAAGAATATGGTTTTGCATGGTCTGACTTGCCCTATGATAATCCCCTTGGACGCTGTGGAGTTTCTACCATCTTTCGCCTTCATTTAAGGGTTTGAGTGCTGCGAAGCTGGTGTGGCTTCAAAGAAGCTCTCAATGCAGACCATCCATGGATCCCACAAAGAAACAAGCGGAGCGGGCTTTTACTGGAATCCCCACTGTCGAGAGCAAAGTTCAGCGCGCATTGTGCAACCGTAGGCTTTTGCCTTGCAGCGCAGCTCATCGACCCCTGCGCATTCTCCCTCCCAGTTTCACACTCCGTGGATTTTCATGAGCGGTGGCAACGCCCGAGCTCCTAAAATGACAACCCCCCTCAATGGGAGATACCACCTGCAGATGTTTGCATTGGGGCAGTTTGAACTTTGGGCGGCCTTATTTCAGGTCGCGATAGCTGCTTCAGTCCATCCGCAATCCCTACCTGCTTACCTGGTCACTCGAATTCGCATCTTTTTCCTTTTGACACTGCTTCGCATGGGTTGGCGGGCTTGCACTTTTCCGACGAGACATTCCATCGCTCGTAGCTTCTGTGGCACTGGGGTCTCTTTTGAGTGGCCCGACGTATTGGCGGCGATGAATGCGGCAAGGTTTGCTTTGGAATTTTGGTTGCCATTGGGGCAGGCGGGAAAGAAACACTGATGCCATTATTGGAGCTTCATCTTAGGGCCCGGTTTCTTAGGATCATCTTGTGGGCATCTACGGTTCAGAGAACCCGCATGTCTTCGCCCAAACTTTGGGGTTCTCAGTTGGAGTTGATCCCTGTCGCATGCTTTCGAAGGGACACCCAAAGAGATTCATGTGCAGCGTCACAAATTCTGGCGCAGAACGCACCATCCATAGAATCCACGGGTGAGATGTGGATCCTCTTTTGCCGATTGCTTCAAGACGGCTTTGGGGCGGCTCAGTCTGCATGTGGCTGTGGGTCAAAACCAATGGGATCCCATTTTGGGGTTTTCGGTGCACCACCCATTTTAGAACCTGTTTTAGTGGTTGGATTGAACCGGATGTTCACTGGGGGTGCGGGCTTTTGATTTTGACCCATGGCCATGTCTGGTGTCCAGGCCGCTGCCCTGGTCCTCCGAGCGGCACACGGTCTTCTGGCTGGCCGGCCCCTGGGCTCGCATTTTTCGGGCTGCCTTAAAGCGGTGCGTGTTGCCTGGCCGGGATCAAGCAAGTGCTCGATCCTGGGAAAGGGGCGCAAGACACATGTCACATATGGCAGCCTTATTCGACATGTGAAAACCCAGCCATAGATGATTTGCCCCCTTTGGCTGCAATATGATGATATGTTGTGCAGATACATAGATACAAATACACACAAGCACATATATGTGTGCGAATATACATATATATATATATATATATATATATATACACGTATACACGTACAGAAATATATATATATATATACATATATATATATATATATATTTCTACACACGCACACACCGGCAATGTCACATTCTCACCAAGAGAACACTCGAAACTCCGGCGTTTTAAAGATTACTACAATTACTTTGCTCAGGAGATGGTTTTGAATGTGCAATGCAACTCGACAACCGCTTCCGTTTTGCACGGGAGGTGCTATAAATACCAACATTTTAGCATGCCCAGCTTCACAACACCCTGTCTCTTTCAACACAAAACCTACCCAACTCCAAGCGCTTGCGAGCTCCAAGACCTGCACTTGGGCCCTGGGGTGCCCACAGGCACCAGAAGGAACACAGATCCAAAGCCCAAAGCTCCAACTCGGCGGACGCAAAGCCAAAAGGCTGTGGCGCAAAATGAAGCGATCGGAGGGGCTGGCTCCGCAGGTTTTGGGTAACCCATGTTTCCACTTACCGATCGGGCAAGCCATTTTGGAATTCCGGTTGTTTTGAGCCACAGCCAAAAGAAGAGAGAGCAACTCTGGGGGAATGTCGGCTGAGAGGAAGGAAGGGGACTCACAGCTCACATCGGGAGCACTCACGCACCGTAAAGAGGAGCTGCTTGGGGGTTGCGCAGGTCGTAGACCATCTCCTTTCAGAACAGCTGAGGTCTTCATCAAGCTATGATGTGTTGTTCTAGTACCAAGCTGTAATCCCAGTGGCAAGCCATTATGGCAGCTGACCAGGTGTGTTTGATCTTGCGGTTTTCATGCTTCTCCAGCTATAAAAGTAATGGAGAACACAAGTTCAAAGTCAGAAGAAGCATCAGGGGCACGGCCAAGAATTCCAGTCCTTGCCAATGGCCGAACCCTGCTTTGTCCCACTGCCCAGGCTTTTTGGGCCAAGACGACAAGATCTACCTGCACGCAGGCTCTTTGGCTGGCTGTCTCAACGCGCCTGGTGGAAGGTATTGCAGCTGTTTTGTTGGGAGCATTCATTGAGCACGCAACAAACCACTGCCCCCGGATGCTTTTTCCTTGGGGGGGTGCTGGCTTTTTAGAAACCAGGCTCTTCATCCATCCTCGCGCTTTCCTTGGGATAGGGGCTGGCGTTTCAGAAACCATGCTACTCAGCTGAGCATGCCATCGACGCGCCTGGATTGTTGGATGCCAGGACTGGACAACTTTCCGGAGAAGCGCTTCTTCTCCGCGCGGCTTGCCAGCTTCCCAAAGGCGGAACGCGCTTCTCGCTCGATGTCTGGGGACTGGCTATCCTGCGGTGTTGCTGGCGCTTGGATGGCCTGGAGCTATTTCTTGGTTTGATTTGACGCCAGCATGTTCCATTTTCAGAGGAGTGGCCGCATGGTCCTCTTGAGTTGCGGGCTGGTCCCCAGACTATAGCCCCAACAGGATGGACAGCTCAGGTCCTTCAAACGTTTTCGTCCAGTTGCTCCCGCAGTTTCTGCGGTCCTCCACATCATGACTTCTGCGCTCCTCCGCGTCAAGAACCCGTTGCACATGCCAGACAGAAGAGTGCCCTCTGGCTTGGCCAGGAAATGCGGCACGAGCCTTCTGCGAGGCGCCCGAATCAGAAGCGCCTTGCAGAACCACCACTTCGTGACGGCCCGCGCGTCGCTGGGAGCTCCAGGCCGGAGGTGTCCACGCGGCGCCAGTATGCCTTCAGGAGTCCGAGGCGCTTTTGCAGCGCGCTGGCTGGGAGTTTGGTCAGAAAAGTAGGTCCAGGTCCAGGGAGTGCTTTGCCCGGATCTCCTGGCGCCGCTGGGCGCCATGGCCAAGTCTCAGTTCTCTGCTCCAAGCCTTGCGTCTCGAAAGGGAGCCCATTGCGTCCGCTTCACCAGGTGCTGCCTTTGCAGATGGGTGCAGACCGACATTGCTGTTCCGCTATTGTGCCCTTAGACGACATCTTTTTGTGCGGCTCCACAGCGCGGATGAGGCGGAGCGGCTCTATGCCAAAGATGCGCCGCGTGGTTTCATCGGGGCGTGGTGCATCCTACTCGGTCCGTGTGGAGCATCCAGATCCGGCGCATCCTGATTTCATGCCATCGGAGACCCTCCCGGGGCTCGGAGACGCTCTTGATTCCCAAGCGATGGCGCTGCGTCGCTGACATCGATCACTGCGTCGCTTTAGGACCGTGCCGCATGGACTTGATCCCCAAAGGTCCAGCTTTGCCATTCTTGTGAAAGCAGGACATATGAACGACTTGGAACATGCTATCCGAATACAGACATTTACTCGATTTATCTAATAACACCTTGGAATCGACATACTGTGGATGGGCAAAATACTGCACCACCTGAAACTCCCTGGGGTGATGCTTCCCCTGTAAATACCAACCAACGTTCTGGTTTGCCATGGTTTCAAAGTGGTGCGAAATGGAGTTCGCAACCACCCCCACCGTATTGTTCTCAGTTAATCCACCAGGGGACCGCAGATCCTAGTGCATGATTTACCAGGGTTCCATTTTGGGCACCTATTTCTGACTCACAGCCCTGTTGTTCCCAGACTCGTTTCGGATGGGGCACGTGTCTTCTGCCTCTGCCTCGCCAGGCTCTTGGCTTCGCAGGCGTCAGAGGCCCAGCTGGCTCTGCCCGCAGGAGCACTTGCGGTCGCGAAATCGGTACGGTGGGTGGTTGCGAAATCCACTTCGCAGCACCTTTGAAACCATAGCAAACCAGAACGTTTGTTGATATTTTTACAGGGGAAGCATCACCCCATTTTTTTTGATTAGGTGCAGGACTGCGTCCATCCACAGTAGGGAATGAGTTGGAATGAGTTCGCGGGCTTCCCCTAGGAAAACCCCAGTTGGATAGCTGGGGTCTGACTCCATTTCTCATTCCCAAAAACCAGCGGCCAGAAAAACAAGCGCTGCACTGACAAAAGTCCAGCCCAACTCGACGGGCTTCCCGGTGGGTTTTCCTGCCTTCGGCCCATTAGATGTGGCTTTCACGGTCAAAATGGCAAGAAAGCCCGCTGAAAGAGCCTTTTCTTCTTGGGGCCCTGGATTTTGACCGTAGACCATACCATTTTTCGTGAGCTGAGGGTCATCCTTTGACTTACTCACCTACTCCTGCAAGAAACATATGGTTCTGTGGCTCAAAAAACACCGGAATTCCAAAATGGGTTGCCCGATCGGTAAGTGGAAACATGGGTTACCCAAAACCTGCGGAGCCAGCCCCTCCGATCGCTTCATCTTGATTGCCACACCCACCATGGATCCCGGAAAGTTCGACAGCTGCTTTTTTCTTTCCCTTCGATTCCTCTCAACCCGGCGGCCTCTTTCATCCGCCTCTCAAATTTGTTGGGTTACAGGGAAGTTCTACAGGAAAACAGCCGTTTTACGGTGTTTCGGGGCCATGTCCGGTAGATTTTTGTTGTACCCAACCCCTTTGAGCCTCGGAAAGCTTTCGTTTTCGCTTTCGCCGTCCGAGGGCCCGGGGGCTTCGCCTTTCTTCATCCGCGACATCGTCCTCTTTGGGCGCGGCGCGCTGAGGAGGGCACCCTTCGCCGGCAGAGATCATCTGGTGGAGGCGCTAAAGCTCGCCGCTTTTTCTTCTTCTTTTCTTCTTTTTTTCTTCGGGTTGCGGAGCTTCGCTTCATGGGTTCACGGGGAGAAGACGAGATGGAAAAGCCGTGACTCGTCCATGGGCGATTCATGGGCGACGTCTTCGTTTGAGCAGCAAACGCGTTTTTTTTTTTTTGTGAAAGATGCAACGGTTCGTGGACTGATTCAGGCTGCTTTGTGTTTCTCGTGCGCGTGATTTGTCGCAAAGCTCTTTTGCCCAATCCAGTGCGGGCCTGTCCAATTGGCTTGTCTTCCTTGGGTCATTGCCCCGGCACATGGAGTTGCTCACGAGATGCGCTCGCTGCATCAAGATGCCGTTGATGCCATTTGTCCCCATTCTGCACATGTATCGTCTGGCTCTCGCGGGCGAGCAACATACAAGCGGGTGCTGGGAGAAGGCAAAAAGCGCAAGGATATGGAGCCGTTTTGCAAATAGATGAGTACTCAAAGGGGCAGGGTACTTGGTAAGTGGTTATGAAGCCTGGGCTTTTGTGGGTTAAAACCACTTACCTGAGGTACCCGATCGCCCTTCTGTCCTCCTCTCCTTTTTCAATGAATCAGGGTTTTGCTTGGTGCAAGCGAGAAAGTGGGCTCAGACGTGGGACATCCCTTTTCATTCAGGCACCTTCCAACCGCATGAGATGAGCATAGGACTGTTTTTTTTTTTTTTGATCAACGTTCAACAAACAATGCCCCGCCTGCTTTTTTCAGACAGCACATGACCCCGTTCTTTCTTCAACAAACTGTCCCTTGCTTCACACCACCCCCCCTAATCTCTCCCCCCCTCCCCTTCCCCCCCTGCAAATGGCCCAAAGCGCAAAGGAGGTCACACACCATGTGGCTGTGGGTCAAAAATACGTACCCAAAATGGAACCCTGGTAAATGGAACCAAAGCCTAAAACCTACGTAACCCTAGCTCTTGAATTTGGACCCATGGCCATATCTGTGTGTTCTGGTTACTCTAGGGATACCTTCCATTTCCATTAACCCAGGGATCCTTCTTTCCAGAAAACCATCAGAACCCCCCAACTCTTTCGTGGCTCCGTGGGTTCCATGGAGCCAACTCTTTCGCTTTCGCCGCGAGGCGCCGCTGCCGCGGCGGCGTGCACTGGCGCGGCTCAAGGAGCTGCGGCTGAGGTGCGAGGCGGGGCTCCGGGGGTCCGGCAGTTGGCCGGGGAGGGGCGGCTGAAGGTTCTGAAGGGGAGTGCAGCCTCCCAGCATGGCGCCAAAAACAAACCCATCTATCTCAGGAAACCAAACCCCAAAAGAAGAATCCCTTCGAAAGGAGATTCATCTTCCAGGTACCTCCCCCACGGGAGGGAGCGTATCTCAGCTGCATCTCGGCGAGTTGGACCCTTTTGGACCTGGATATTGTCCCCATCTTTTTCTGGGGCGTGCCCATCCCAAATCCAAGGGTGTCCAAAAAAAACACTTGGAGCAGCTGAGCTCTGGCTAGTGTACCAGTGTTGCCGTTCGAGGGGGAACGCAAGAATCCATTTTCGGAGCTTCCCCATGGCCTGGATGTGCAAGAAGTGTTGGGACTTGTGCGAGGTTCTAGAGCTGGTCGAAGAGAGTTTCAAGTTTTCCGGGAGGGTCTTCCTAGAGCAAAGTTTCGCGACTCGCAATATTACTGGTAGCACAGCATGCAATATAGCCCATGCATCATTGAGGGGACATGGATATCTCGTCCCCCCGCCTTTCCGACAAAGGGCGGAGGACAACCCACATGAACTAGCTGGTTACCAGGACAGGGAGGGCCATGATGGAGAATCAACCTTTTGAGGCGACGAGTTGTTTTGTGGCTTGTGAGATTTTCGAGAAACTCCGCCAGCCGGGTGCTCTTCAGTTTTGATGTTTTCATAGGTTCACTCAGGGGTGGTCATTTGCTCCAATATGGAAGCAGCAGAAAGCCAAGAAGGAGCTCCTTCTTTACGGGTGGCTCGTGATCAATTCTGTTTCGATCGGAGGGAAGATCTGCCTGACTCCGAGCAGCTGAGGTGGTTGCCGTCGCAGAGGGGCAGGAGGACATAGCTGAGAAGGATCCGCGAGCCGGGCCGTGACACACTCTAGGTGGCTTCGGCAGAAGCAAGGTGATCGTCCGAAAAGGTGAATGCGAGCCACCAAGATGATGTTCCAGGGGAGTGAATGTTAGTGGCTCGACCCACCAGGGTGGTGAATGTTGGCTCGAGCCACCAAGATGATCTTCCCTTTGGGGGTGAATATTAGTGGCTGGAGGAACGACAGAGAGCCCTGCTCAACATTCTCTCAAGCCTCACGCTTTCCGGCAGCACGCTCAGCTTTGCACGATGGTTGGGCTTCAAGCTCCACAACCCAAATTCGTTCCCATATCACAACACATCGCGCGCGCATTCAGCGCAGGAGAAGCCTCCTGCAAGGACACCCTGGCTTGGTGCTCAGTCTCGTAGGTAGGGCAGATGTGGCATTTTGAGGGCCACTGGAATGAATCGGGGGTTGAAGCTGTGTGAACACGACCTATGAAAGACCACCTCCTGCTTGTTGTGATCGCCCTCTTGGAGAGTTCTTTTTTTTCTTTTTCTCTCTGCGGGTTGCTGGGTATAGAACGAGACTTTAGGGGTTTAGAGGTTTTTGGGTGGCCTTATTTGCATTTTTCTAAAATCCTATTAACGCATCTTTTGCATGTTGTGCATCCCCCTTCCGTTCCCCTGCTCTGCATCCCAGGCATCACATTCATTCGCAGCATCACCTACATTTCATGCATCATCGGCATCCGCTGTACTTACCCGCATCAGCCGCATCCCCAGCATCCCTTGCATCTACTGCATCCCTTGCATCCGCTGCGTGCCTTGCGTCTGGCGTCCCTCGTGCGCCTTCTGCGTGACACATTCCTGCATCCCTCCCTTCCTTTGGTCATCTCGTGTCATTTCGCCCGCCTCCCGATGCACGCTAGGCGCACTATGTTCTCCGCCGGCATTCTCGAGGGTGAGCAGCCAGAGGATGGGCCGAGTGAGGCGGGCCGAGCATGGCAGTCGCTTGCTTGGCGCCGGCAACGCGCTGGCGTGTGCGTTTGTTCCCATGGCCAGGCGACTCAGAGCGTTTGCCTGGTGATTTGCACATCTGCGGAGCGCGGGCGCCTGGCCTGGTGAGAGAACACCTTGTTTTGAGATTTGGGTATGGGTCAACATATCCCCACCAGGGGATCGCAGGTTTTAGTCTTTGGTTCCATTTACCAGGGCAAGCCGTTTTCGGTACGCATTTTTGACCCACAGCCATTTCACAGAGCCCATGGCTCCAGCATCCTGTTTCCTGGCACGTTGTTGTTCTTTCTGGCTGGTGCTCCGTAATGTGCTGCACGCAGCTATTTGTTGACTGCGGCCAATCCGGCTCACTTTTCGGGCCTCAAGAAATATAGAAGTGCATGGCCCATGAATCAGAGACAGGTTTCACCACTTTTTTTTTTTTTTAAATGAACATATTCCTACACACATGTAGGTGGAGTGCATGGTCCGCGGGTTTTGCACCACCAAACAACACAACAACCCACCCATTTCTGTGGATGCGACTCGACGCATTTCCACGGGCCAGGCAAGCGGCCGAGGCAGCCCAGGCCCTCTCTGGCCAGGCGGAGACGCGTTTTCGCGGCTTCGGATGGGATGAGGAAGAAGTGATTGCCGGCCCACTTGTTTGTGGGCACGCAAAAACTGTTGGGGCACCCCCCCCCAAGTCGTTTTTGTTTTTCCTTTGGGGGTTTCTTTTGAAATAAGCTTCAGTGGTCGAGTAACCATGACTCTCTTAGATGAACGAGATTCCCACTGTGCCTACCGACCATCCAGCGAAACCACAGCCACGGGAACGGGCTTGGGGGAATCAGCGGGGAAAGCCGGTTGCGGAGTAAGTGATTGCCGGCCCACTTGTTGGGCACGCAAAAACTGTTGGGGCACCCCCCCCAAGTCGTTTTTTTTTTTTTTCCTTTGGGGGTTTCTTTTGAAATAAGCTTCAGTGGTCGAGTAAACATGACCCAAGCTGTGGGGCACTGACCCAAGCTGTGGTTTTCCTTAGAAATCACGCCAGAAAGGCGCCCCCTCCAAAAAGACGTTCCCTTTTGTGAAAACTTTACAGAGCTAAAAGGCGGGGGTTCCTGAACTGGGTGTGTCGTTTTCTACGGGAGCCCTCCAAAATGTTCCTTTTGGCTTCCCTTCAACACCAGCAAGAACTATGGCTCCAAAAAACCGACACACCCAAATGGCGGACTGACCACGTTGAGCCAAACCATGTGAGGCGATTGCTGGGATCAGGGAGGCATCCTATCTCGCAGACAAAATGAGATAGTCACGGATGCGTGCTGGATCCGATTCCAAGATTTGATGGGGAGTTGGTTGCGTGAGATCAGGTGGCTGTGGGTCAAACACATGCACCCAAATAGCACCTTGGCAAATGGAAACAGGGACTAAAACCTGCGTAACTCTGGCTCTTCAATGTTGAGGCACAACCAGGTGGCTGTTTTTGAGGTATGTGACATGTGGGGAACCCTTTTCCCTTTTTGTCCAGCCGCCTTTTGCAGCCCTTCTCGGCAGGTCGTGCCGGGAATCCAAAAAACCTGGCCTTTGGCGAACGCAGGCCTTGGTGGGGCTGGTTCAGTCCAACCAGACACGTCGTGGACATGGTACTAGTTGTTTTATTTTGGAACACCCAGCCTCCAAGAATTTGTTTGGTACCTCCCCCCCAAAAGAATGTTGGGCATTTTTCAGCCCATGTATTTGCCAAGACAAGTTAAAGCGCTTTGACAGATTTTGGGATGTAAGATTCTCAGGACTCTGGCTCTTTCAATCTTCAATCCAGTACTTTGAGACGTTTAGGGTTCGAGGAGTCTCAAGCAAGCCAAGGCGGCTGTATATATATATATATATATATATATATCTACATGACTAAACGCATGGACGTGTTCTTGGTCCTCGCGCACTTTGGTCAACTCATGGCATCCTGTCGTTTGGGCCCAACGTGCGTTGGATCCGGAATTCTCTTGCGCTTCCCCCCGGAAGGAACGGCTCCCACAGACGTGTGCCACCGTGGAATGAGCAACTGGGGATATTTCCAGTCGGTTTCAGGGGAGTTTTACAGGGCCACCTAGCTTCCCCCGAGGTGCAAAAGTGGTTGGCACAAGACAAGAAGCCTTTTGGAAGGTGAGCCGTGCGCATGTTTGACTGTGCTTAGCAGTTAGTTGAACAAATATTTGTCTGGAAGATCAGGACTCAGAAAGGCTATGATGGAATGCATTTATCTTGTACGCAATTTCCCGACTAGCAGAAACTCACAGCTCCCAGCTTGAAACTTCCCAATCTTCACCTCAACCCAACCTTAACATCTTCAAACATGTTCTCTTTCTACCTTTTTCAACCTATCCTAACCTTACATTTTCTCCAACCTAACCTTAAGATCTTTTTCAACAGATCAGACCACGTCTCTCATACCGAGAGAATCGGGACCCTCTGCGGCCGGCCTCGCCGGCCAGGCGAGGTGCCTGGCCCTAAGGCGTGGGAGTTTGGCGAAGACCGGGGGAGCTCAAGGTACCGGCTGGCCGAATGGTCGCAGACTTGTGCCTTAAAGGTAGCCGGAGCTTTGGTCACAGTCGTAACATATGAGGCGCACACAAAGGATTCCATGCGATGCGCGCGCGGATTCCATGAGATTTTACTCGCTCCAGCGTCGTTCGTTTTCGCAGAGTGCCTCGGTTTGTTTCCGGAAGGAATGGCTGCAAAAGGCGGCCTTGAGTGCCTCTTGTCTTTTTCTTTCGCCGCAAAACATGGCTGCAAATGATGGCCTTGGAGGGCTCATTGTGCGATTTCGTGAGATTTGAGCCCGGTTCAGAAGCGGGATGCCTGATCCATCAGTGGGGGATTGGGGCAAGGGGGGTGTCCTGCGATGGGTCTTGCGAGGGGTGCTGCTGAACAGGAGACAGGGTTAGAGAAAGCCGAGCTTTCAATAAAAGACACAATTGCACAGGAACAACACACCCCGATTTCAACGTGTTGCAACAGCCAATGGCGTGACAGTTTCAGCAGGGCTCGGTGAAGTTTGTATCACCACTTGGGACATGGGCACCAGTTGATTCTGTTCAGCATGCCAAGATTCACCTCAGGACGTCCAACGGGCCATGAGATCAGCACTGCCGTTTTGCTCAATATTTCTGTTGCAAGCGGCTGGTTCTACATGAGTTGCAGTGGGGGCAATCGCGGTAATGTTGGTTTCAATCACCGCGTTCCGCACGGCCAGGCGGCCAAGCAGCTGCTGGAGGCACAGGCTGAGGCCGACCGAGCCGCTGAGAGTTGCATGAGACTGAGGATACTAAGCCCTTTCGAGGATTCGTCAGGAAGGTCCAATGACATCGGGTGGTCTCTCTCTCTCTCTCTCTCTTTCTCTTTCTCTTTCTCTTTCTCTTTCTCTTTCTCTTTCTCTTTCTCTTTCTCTCTCCCTTTCTCTCTCCCTCTTTCTCCCTCTCCCTCTTTCGCTCTATCTCTCTCCCTCCCTCTGTCTCTGTCTCTGTCTCTGTCTCTGTCTCTGTCTCTGTCTTGGTCTCTGCTCTGTCTCTTTTTTTGTTTTTTGTTTTCTCTCTCTCTCTCTCTCCCTCTCTCTCTCTCTCTCGCTGCCTGTGGCGGGACATGTCAGAGACTGTGCTCGTCAAGAGCTTCTTCAGGACCATGTTTGATATGGCTCTGGGTCAAGCCCAATGGGATCCCATTTTGGGGTAGGTGCACCACCCATATTAGTCGATTTTAGTGGGGACTGGGATGTTTACTGGGGGGTCGGACTTTGGGATTTTGACCCATGGCCATATGGCTTTCTCCATGGCCCAAGGCTTTCTGGGCACGCTGGTGAGAGGCCTGGCACGGCTTGCACCCGGACACCGTGCGGGAACTCGGGCTTTTCAAGGACCTGGGTTGAGGCAGAGAGCCTTGGGCTTTTGAAGACCGACCGACTGTTTTGGTGTTGGGCAAGATGTTCATTTGGGCTCTCATGGGAGGGACGGGGGGATACTCCGGTGCACTGGATTTGGGTAAGGGCGAGTCGGTGCGAGTGGGTCGCGAGTCAGACCGATGAAGTTCGAGTCTGTTCGTGGAAATATATTTAAGGGCTGCCGCCCAGTGCCGCCGACCCCTCCGCTGGGGGCCAGCCCAGGTTTTTTTTTGTTCTGGCAGCGGCTTTTGGCTGGTTCTGGCTTGCTGGCTTGCTCGCTCGCTTGCTTGTTTGCTTGTTTTCAGCGCTTTTCCAGGCCGCGCTCGTTTGCCCACAGCGAGCACCAACCAAAGGAGTGCTATATGGAAAGTAGACAGCAATCGGTCCCCAGGGCGCAACCAGCAAGAACAGCTTCGCGTCCAGCGCGCTTGGAGGCCGCACTCGCTGCGCTGCAGCGAGCACGAACCAAAGGAGTGCGCCGGCAGCCTGCTCCGCCGCGGCCGAGTGCCTAACGTCGCATTTGAGTCCAACATGCAGCAAAGCTATCGGTGCAGAGGGAGCGGCCAGCCACAAAAGCTTCGCTTCCCGCGCTTTTCCAGGCCGCACTCGTTTGTCCACAGCGAGCGCCAACCAAAGGAGTGCGCCGGCAGCAGAAAGGAAAAGGAAAGAAACCAAAGGAGTGCGCAGAAAAGGAGAAAAAGGAAGAAAAAAGGCCGTACGGGCGGGCCGCGAGAGAGCTTCAGCGCTGAAAGCTGTGCCCTGCAGGTGTTCGAGCGCTGTTTTAGGCCGCACTCGTTTGCCCCCCACAGCGAGCACCAACCAAAGGAGTGCGAAGACAGGCCGAACGGGCTGGCCGTGACAGAGCTTCAGCGCTGAAATCTGCGGCCAGCAGGCCGCTGGACGGACCGATAGCCTTGCTGCATATTGGACTCAGCCGCGACGTTAGGCACCCGGCCGCGGCGGAGCAGGCTGCCGGCGCACTCCTTTGGTTCGTGCTCGCTGCGGCGAAGGAGTGCGGCCTCCAAGCGCGCTGGACGCGAAGCTGTTCTTGCTGCTTGCGCCCTGGGGACCGATAGCTTTCTACCTTCTGTATAGGATTCTACAGTGACGTTCGGCACCCGGCCGCGGTGGAAACAGCCGCCCTTGGCAAGACGCACAGCAAACCCAAAGGAAAGAAGAGCAGGGATCGGCAGACTGTCCCAGACGCAGGCGCACATGGGCATGGACAGGCCGGGGATTGAGCCCGCCCTCTCACATGCTGGGTGTGATGCCGCTACACCAACTACCCCTGAGCTGAGAAGGCCGAGAGTGCTCAAACACCTCTTTTCGCTGTGGGCAAACGAGCGCGGCCTGGAAAAGCGCTCAAGCACCTGCAGGGCACAGTTTTCAGCGCTGAAGCTCTGTCACGGCCCGCTCGTCCGGCCTTTTTGCTTCCTTTCTGCTGCCGGCGCACTCCTTTGGTTGGTTCTCGCTGTGGGCAAAGGAGTGCGGGCCCGCCCGTTCGGCCTCTAGTCTTCCTTTCTCTTTCCTTTTCCTCTCTGCTGCCGGCGCAAGCGCGGGAAGCGAAGCTTTTGTGGCTGGCCGCTCCCTCTGGACCGCTTCAGCGCTGAAAGCTATGCGCAGCAGGTATTTGAGCACTCTCGGCCTGCTCAGCTCAGGGGCAGTTGGTGTAGTGGTATCACACCCGCTCAGCATGCGAGAGGGGCTGGGTTCAATCCCCGGCCTGTCCATGCCCATGTGCGCCTGCGTCTGTCACAGTTTGCCTCTCCCTGGTCTTTCATCCCTTTGGGTTTGCTGTGCGTCTTGCCAAGACCGGCTGGTACGCCGCGGCCGGGTGCCAAACGTCACTTTTGAATCCTATATAGAAAGTAGAAAGCTATCGGTCCCCAGGGCGCGACCAGCAAGAACAGCTTCGCGTCCAGCGCGCTTGGAGGCCGCACTCGCTTCGCCGCAGCGAGCACGAACCAAAGGAGTGCGCCGGCAGCCTGCTCCGCCGCGGCCGGGTGCCTAACGTCGCGTGTGAGTCCAATATGCAGCAAGGCTATCGGTCCGTCCAGCGGCCTCTTTTCGCTGTGGGCAAACGAGCGCGGCCTGGAAAAGCGCTCAAGCACCTGCAGGGCACAGTTTTCAGCGCTGAAGCTCTGTCACGGCCCGCTCGTCCGGCCTTTTTGCTTCCTTTCTGCTGCCGGCGCACTCCTTTGGTTGGTTCTCGCTGTGGGCAAAGGAGTGCGGGCCCGCCCGTTCGGCCTCTAGTCTTCCTTTCTGCTGCCGGCGCACTCCTTTGGTTTCTTTCCTTTTCCTCTCTGCTGCCGGCGCAAGCGCGGGAAGCGAAGCTTTTGTGGCTGGCCGCTCCCTCTGGACCGCTTCAGCGCTGAAAGCTATGCGCAGCAGGTATTTGAGCACTCTCGGCCTGCTCAGCTCAGGGGCAGTTGGTGTAGTGGTATCACACCCGCTCAGCATGCGAGAGGGGCTGGGTTCAATCCCCGGCCTGTCCATGCCCATGTGCGCCTGCGTCTGTCACAGTTTGCCTCTCCCTGGTCTTTCATCCCTTTGGGTTTGCTGTGCGTCTTGCCAAGACCGGCTGGTACGCCGCGGCCGGGTGCCGAACGTCACTTTTGAATCTTATATAGAAAGTAGAAAGCTATCGGTCCCCAGGGCGCGACCAGCAAGAACAGCTTCGCGTCCAGCGCGCTTGGAGGCCGCACTCGCTTCGCCGCAGCGAGCACGAACCAAAGGAGTGCGCCGGCAGCCAGAAAGCTATCGGTCCCCAGGGCGCGACCAGCAAGAACAGCTTCGCGTCCAGCTCGCTCTCGCTTCGCCGCAGCGAGCACGAACCAAAGGAGTGCGCCGGCAGCCTGCTCCGCCGCGGCCGGGTGCCTAACGTCGCGTTTGAGTCCAATATGCAGCAAGGCTATCGGTCCGTCCAGCGGCCTCTTTTCGCTGTGGGCAAACGAGCGCGGCCTGGAAAAGCGCTCAAGCACCTGCAGGGCACAGTTTTCAGCGCTGAAGCTCTGTCACGGCCCGCTCGTCCGGCCTTTTTGCTTCCTTTCTGCTGCCGGCGCACTCCTTTGGTTGGTTCTCGCTGTGGGCAAAGGAGTGCGGGCCCGCCCGTTCGGCCTCTAGTCTTCCTTTCTGCTGCCGGCGCACTCCTTTGGTTTCTTTCCTTTTCCTCTCTGCTGCCGGCGCAAGCGCGGGAAGCGAAGCTTTTGTGGCTGGCCGCTCCCTCTGGACCGCTTCAGCGCTGAAAGCTATGCGCAGCAGGTATTTGAGCACTCTCGGCCTGCTCAGCTCAGGGGCAGTTGGTGTAGTGGTATCACACCCGCTCAGCATGCGAGAGGGGCTGGGTTCAATCCCCGGCCTGTCCATGCCCATGTGCGCCTGCGTCTGTCACAGTTTGCCTCTCCCTGGTCTTTCATCCCTTTGGGTTTGCTGTGCGTCTTGCCAAGACCGGCTGGTACGCCGCGGCCGGGTGCCGAACGTCACTTTTGAATCCTATATAGAAAGTAGAAAGCTATCGGTCCCCAGGGCGCGACCAGCAAGAACAGCTTCGCGTCCAGCGCGCTTGGAGGCCGCACTCGCTTCGCCGCAGCGAGCACGAACCAAAGGAGTGCGCCGGCAGCCTGCTCCGCCGCGGCCGGGTGCCTAACGTCGCGTTTGAGTCCAATATGCAGCAAGGCTATCGGTCCAGAGGGAGCAGCCAGCCACAAAAGCTTCGCTTCCCGCGCTTTTCCAGGCCGCACTCGTTTGTCTACAGCGAGCACCAACCAAAGGAGTGCGCCGGCAGCAGAAAGGAAAAGGAAAGAAAAGAAACGAAGAAGAACAAGAAAAAAGGGAAAGAAAGAAGGCTGGTAAGGTACAGGGCTGAACGGGCGAGGGCGAAAGGGAAGGGAGAAGGCTGCCACAGCCACGCTCCAACGCTAAACGAACACTCCCCCAGCGCCTTCCCCTTGCAGGCAGGGGGGTCGGCGGATCTGTGCTGAAGATTTCTCAGATGTGGTCCGCACAGGCAGACACCTGATGACATTTGATAACAAATGTAGTTTGCCAGCACGCTTGGGCCTGGAAAAGGGCTTAAGTGCGTTACAACCTGCCTCAAGTACATCCCCAAATCAGAATAGGAGAGCCTTTGAGGGCCTTCGAAGTCGTCGCCCGGTCAGTCCTGCGGACACCTTGGTCTTTGGAGCGAGTCATTTTTTGGTTGCCGGGGCCTTTCTTTTCGTTTTTTGTTTTTTTTGAAAGCTTGGGTCTGGTCAGCTTGCCCTCCAGACGATTCGATGGACCCCTTTGGAAGACTTGGTTCCATGGAGGCCTTGTTGGAGCTTCCGGCTGTTAGTCTGAGGGAGTGCACTTGAAATAACTATCCAATACATCTTACTGCGCTGCCTCTTCATGCAAACGCCTTTTTCAGTCATGCGGAATGTTCCTGGGAAAAAGAATTCGCATTGAAGCGAAACAAATGTGGATGTTGCGTTGCGGATCAAATCAAACGAGCCCTCAGGAGCACCTGGAGCGGAACACACGGCACCTGGAGGGCACTCGCATTGCTCGCAGCGCCGCCATGTGGGGGCCCCGGCCTGGGAATGCGCATTGAAGTTGGTTGGCTCGGCCCTTTTACTTTTTCCTCTAAAGGTCCGCCCAAAAACGAGGATCTCAATGATGTCGGCCTCTTCCTGAATCGAGCTGCATTCTTCATCCATGGTGTGCGCACACGTTGCACCGATTTTTTTTCGCAGAATTGTGACCTTCGTTCTTTTCAAAGACGAAGCAGAGGAAACGAATCCTCACAGGTTCCGTTCCGAGTGGCTCTGTGGGACGTGGATGCTCTACATGTGGCCCGTTTCCCAGTGGTCTAACCCGGAGGTGGCTCCTTGAACTTGGATCTGTCTTGGAGCGGCGTGCCGTGCCTTGAAAAAGCGCGGCAGCCCATCTCATTTCCGAAGTGAAGGCCTTCAAATGGCCATGGCTTGGACTTAAGGCCGAAGAAGAACTGGTTTTCTTGATGCAGTCGCACTTCAGGGTTGATGTCTGGTCTTGAGGCACATTGACAAGCCAAGCTACGTATCTTTCGCACCACTTCTCTCGCGCAACCATAAAGCATATATTTGTCAAATGGCAATCCCCGCCATGCCCTAAACCACAGTGGAGCCATTTGGAGCATCTGTCGGCTGGTGTGGATCATAGATACCAACATTATTGGTTCAACTCTCTAGTTTTCATCATCAACATCCTCATCCTCACCGCATCCTCATCCTCATCCTCATCCTCATCATCATCATCATCATCATCATCATCATCACCATCACCATCACCGTCACCGTCACCATCACCATCACCATCATCCATCTCCATCATTTTGATCTTCATCCGCGTCCTCATCCGCATCCTCATCCTCATCCTCATCCTCATCCCCATCCCCATCATCCTCATCATCCTCATCATCCTTATCCTCCTCCTCGTGATTGTCATCCTTGTCATCCTTATCATCATTATCATCATTTTCATCATCATTTTCGTTCATCATCATTTTCATCATCATTTTCATCATCATCATCATCATCCTCCTCCTCATCATCATCATCCTCCTCATCCTCATCATCATCCTCCTCATCATCATCATTATTTTGACGGACATGGCACACACGTTTTTTTTTGCATTGCTTCTCTCGGTTTTCTCGCTGCCCAAGGAGGATGATCATTTCAGGCAGGGCTTTGCAGATGAGATTCAACGGTCACAACTTCAGATCGGAGGTTTCACCTTCCGTTCCTGGCGGCGCATGGAGTGGTGGGAGCTGCATCCAGATCATCAAGAAACGCTCCTGTGCCCAGCTTTCGGCTCCGGGCCGCATTTGGCTGTTCCCTTCCCCTGAACCGAAGGGGAAGCAGGAACACCGCCAGAAAACTGCAGGCAAGATCAATTTGCTAAGACACGAGCAAACGGCAAACTCTGCGCACCTGAAACTCTGCGCCCAAAAAAGAAGCTGATGGAACGGTTCCCAGGTTCAGCGGGTTTCGAGCGTTCAGCTATGCTTCCTCGCCGGAAGGAAGCCGCTGGAAGAAACGTCTATGCCGAAGAACCAAGCTTGCAACAGAAACAACAAAGCGCGAGGAGCAAGCAGCAAGCAGCAAAGTAACAAAAACAAGACACGAAAGGCGATCACAGCACCTACCGCTTTCGGCTGAGACCAACACCCACACACACACACATACATTCACCAGAGGCAGCAGCTCAGCAGAAGCTCAAGGCTGCGCCATGAAACCGCCATGCTTCTCGCTCCAAAGGCGCTCGCCGGAAGGCCTTCGCACCTTCATCCGTCGGCCTGCGGCCTTCAGAGCGGCGCCCTTCGGGCGCCCTGCGCGCAGCCGGTGCTGAAGCTGGCAGCGGTGAGGCTCGCGGCGAGATGGTGGAGGCGGGCGGGTTTTTCAAGACGTGGGGTTTGTGGGTATGGGTCGGAAGTAAGCCAGGATATGGACGGCAGGCAGGTTTAGTCCCTGTTTCTTTCCATTTTCCAGCACAATCCAGGTTGGTTACCCTATTTTTGACCCAGAGCCATGTTTTGATGGAGACTTCTTCGGTGATGTTTCTTTTGCATCTCTGGCAATGAACTTGATTTCAGAGTCTTCAGGGCGTTTGGTCCGGGGTTGTGGCCATGCTAGCACCAAGTTTGGCCACTGGCTGACGTTGGTTTGAACATCAAAACCTGGCACCTTGAACACGCTTCACAGCTTCTGGATAGCCCTCGCCACTGTCCAAGTCTTAGCCCAGATATGGCCATGCATCCCCCCTTCTTGGCTGTGTGTATATCGTGGTTTTCCTTTTGGTTTCCCCTTAAACCGCCCAAGCAGGGAGTTTTCACCCCAAACCAAAAAGGAAAGACGAGAAGAGGGACGCCTAGCCCACGTGACCGGCCAGCCGGCCAGCCGAGGCGGTCCAGACCGCCCTTCGGCTGCCTTCTTCGCCGAGCCGAAGGCACCGACTTGAGCACTTTGGCGAACTTCGGGTGCGATGAGACCGGCTGCACCGTGGACCCAGCACCTCGGAGTCGGACGGGCGGGGCGGGACGGATGGGACGGACCGAGTGATACCGAGTGCTGGGGAGAGGTGACTCATGGGATGCGTTTTTTTTTTTGGTGTGTGTGTTTGTGTGTCTCGATTTCTTCTTTTGACAGGTGGGACCCCCAAGAGGGCGGACATCTTTCCTTGGGGCTCCCTCTTAAACCATCCCAAAAAAGGAGTAGCTTTGAAAAAAGACACGGCCATATTTCGTTCTGAACGGCGTCTAGGCGCGTTCGTAAGGCTTTCAGTTGAGCCTCCGAAAGCCCAGAGGAGCGGCGCCAGGATTCCTTGCAGGCCTGCAGGTTTTTTGTCTCTGAAGCTGGGAGAGCGTTTTTGGTTGCAAGTTGCACTGGGGGTACGAGTGGTTCACTGGGATTTGCACTGGGAGAGCGTTTTTGGTTGCACCCCCAGCTCAGTTCAGATGCCTCGGAGGGATGAGGCGAGCCATTTGGTGCGAGCCAAGGAACCAGAGAACTGGGAGGGCTACACGCCCTTGAGGGAGGACGGCGAGTTCCCGATCTCGGGCAGTCGGGGAGTTCTCGGAGTCGTGGGTTTTTTTTTTTTTGGGGGGGGGGTGTTTTTTGTTTGTACTTTTTTGGGAGGGTTTTTGGTTTTTGGGTCTTTTTGGGGTTTTGGGGTTTTGGGGTTTTGGCCTGTAAGGGCCAATCCCTTTGCCACAAATCCGCGGATCTCCGGCTTCATGGGAAGCCCCGTCCTCCGAAAGGCCTCCTTGGCGCAAGGCCACATCCCCATGCATCAAGCTTGAGCCATGGGTGTCCTTTTTGGGTTTGGTTACAAATAGAAGGCACTGGTTGAGATGGGTTTGATTCCATGTACCAGGGCCCATTTTTCGGAAAAGGACGCCTGTGGTTTGGGCCCTCTGAAGCAATGTGATTGAAGCACTCGTGCAGGTTCAGCCAACAGTTGACCATGCAATGGTTATGTGGCCAAAGGACCCGTGTGCAAGCAAAGCGGATCCCTTGCGGATCCCGAAGAAAGCCAAGAGCGGGGCAGCTCGCAGGAGCTCAGTGACTCGAGCCCCATGCACGTCCCTCAGATCCCAACTTGGCGCCTAAAAATCTCTGTGAGAGTTTTCTTTCCGCGCACGGAGGACCCTTCTGCGGAGTTTACCTCCACAGAGGCGGGCGGGGGACGGGCGGAAAGGAGCTCGTGAGATGCGCGGGGTGGATTTTTTTCAAGGTCCGATGAACATGGGATGACCATTGCCATTGGTTGGAAAACCACTAAACGTATGTTTGATATTTCAACCACATGGGAAAAGTTGCCCATGGCTGGGGGCCTGTCGGGAATATTGCGCGTTTTGAGGTTCGCAGCTTCTACAGAATGCACCCCTATGTTGCACTGCGTGTACGTGCAGCTTTAGCCACCGTGCAACACGCGAGAACAAACAAACTGGAAGAAACAAATGCTCGAAATGCTGTGGCTTCCTTTTGTTGCCCCCTGGTAGAGGGGAGTTTCATGTGTGTTGCAGGAAGAACATTGTCCTGTGTTGTGCTTGGCAGGCGTCGGGTGCACAGGGAATAACTGAGACACAATCCTTTGCTTGCTGTCTGGGTTCGAGGGCCAAAAAGCAAGGGCAAAGCATCGTTTTTCCCAGGAACATTGTGCATGACAAGCCTGAAAAAGGTGTTTGCACGGAGAGGCAGCGCAGCAAGATGTGTTGGATAGTTATTCCAAGTGCACTCTCTCAGACTATCATGGAAGCTCCCAGAAGGCCTCTGTAACTGGAACAAAGTCTTCCAAAGAGGTCCTAGACCTTCCATGTTAGTCTGGGGAGGGTAACCATGGTTCCTTCTAGGCTTACTTTTGGAAGGCATAGTGTGTTTCTCATCTGGGCAGTTCCGGCGTATTGAGGCAAACATGCTCTTTGGGAAGAGCTTTTGCTGGGCTCATAGCATTGCGGATCTGGTCAGAGAATTGGATCGGGTCTCCACGGAGTGTGAGCTGCATTGGTTTTGGCTACCGGTTGTTCCGAAATGGCCGCGGAGCAGGTGTTTGACGGCCGAAATTGATTGTATGTATCTGGTATATGCTTGGACAGTTGAATGTGTTGTTGCATGAACTGGAGCCCAGATCTATCAGTCCAGCCATGTGGCAGCCTTTCCCGGTGCATGTGCCATTCGCTGCCAGCAGCTTGCCCCCATCGGCGCACCACTCCTCCACGTTTGCTGGGCGCAGGCATGATGCACAGCGGTTCATTCTGTTTGGGCCGGTGCTTGTAGCGCTGCGCAGCCACTCCCGCCCGCATCAACTTCCAGCAGCTCGCCGGCAGCGCATGAAGCAACGTCCCTCATATGACTACACAACTGGGTTGCAGGAGGAGCTATATTTTCTCAACTGTCCAACGAACGCGCAGCATCCAGGACGATCGCAAAATGCGAAAGAGTTGAGGTACAAAATAAAGCAATGTCGGAGCGCTTCGAGTTTGCTGCAGCTGCTGGAGGAGGGTGTGTCTGAAGAGATTATGGAAGCCAGTGTCATTGGTGCTGCAATGCAGACATGTGGCTATCAGAGCTGGTGGGGAACCTTTATGAAAGTCCGCAGCATTCAGCAGAAGCACTCGATATCATTATTTGTTGTTGAGAGGAACATTGCAATGACAGCCTTGTCGCATTGTCTGAAACACGGGGGGAAGTTTGGAGCAATTCAACAACGCAAGCAAGCCGTGCTTCGCATGGCGCAAGAAATCTGGCAAGAAGTGCCTCAGGGCACATCAACAGACCATGATTCTTTCAATTGTGGTCTCAGCAGTGCTGTTAAGATGGCCCGTTGCGTCGACAGCCCAGAAGCTCTGGAATGGGGTCTGGAAGTCTGGCGTCAAGCAGATGACAATTATAGCAAGAGCATTATAACTTTTGCTACTTACGCCCACTTTTTGGAGCACTACGAGCTTCATGACAAGGTGGATGCGCTGCTGGCAGACAAGGAGGTAGAGAAGAACTGTGTGCTCTTAGGAGCACTTCTTGACAGTGCTGCCTCCCGTGGACACACGGCTCGCGCAGGTCATTTGTGGCGATCGTTTGTCAGCAAGCATGATGTGACCCCGAACTTGCTGTGCTATAACGCATTTGCCAAAGCTTTTCTCATTTCAGGGCATCCAACACGCGTGGTGCGGATTCTTCGGCCAGTTGTGGATGCGGCACGCAGCCAGGGCAACTTCCAGCTTGTGGGCGCCTATATTCAGTCGCTGCTGGTTCTTTACCACTCTTCCCTGGCGGCAGAGCATTTACGTGAATTAAGGCCACTGCTAAAGAAGACGCCGCCTCGCAGCTATGCGAAAGACTGGAAGCGCTTTGATGCAGCGGCGCGACATTTGGCGGCTGGCAGCTTGTTCTCCAGTATATCAGCCTTGACTTCTTTTGTTTCACAGTTTTGTCTGTGGAGTGTGGGGCTCATCAAATGTCAGGGCTGAGTTGCAGGGACATATTTCCAGTGTTGGCCCCATCACGCTTTTTTTTCTTCTTCCGTGCACATGCCGTGCCGCTGTGTCTCAGAGCTGAGGAAGGCTCATCCCGCTCAGCGAGGTGCTGATCGAATGGAAGGCCCGAACGCGAAGCTCCATGGCCAACTGGAAGGACGCCGTGGCTGGTTCCGGCTACTTGGCAGAGCTGGAGCCGGCCAGAGTTGAGAAGGGCCGCTTGCCGGAGGTTCAGAACCGCCGGAGTGGAGAAGAAGGGCCGCTTGCGGCGGGGTTCAGTGGATCGGAGGAATGTAACTGAGCTTTTTCACCCTGGGCCCGGTTCGTTGTTCTGTCACTTTGGTGCTTTTGCCTCTTGTTTCTTTCCCTTCTCTCCCCTTCCCTCCCCCTTTCCTCCCCTTCTCTCCACTCCCCGTTTCTTTCCCTTTTCCTTCCCTCCCCTCCCCCACCTTCCCTCCCCTCTCGTTCCTTTCAACCTCCGGAGGATCCTTTTTAGAGTTATTCCCTCGCGACAGCTAAACTAAGAACGGGTGAAGTCCACAAAGGGCTGGGATACTCCTTACTTGGGCATATTTTTGTGCACGACCTCGACATATGGAATCACAATCTGACCCAAAGTGCGGATTCTGATTTTTTGGCTCATGCCAGTGGTTCTGAATCAGCCACACACTTTGGGACGAAGTGTCTCCGCCAGAATGTGGGATCCGAGTTCGCTTTTCCTCTTCACGTCCCAAATGACCCCTTTTCCTATTTTTGGGTAGGTCCAAGTCCGCCAATCCCGGGTGGATAATGTGTCAACATAGGGGTACCCCTCCAAATGGAAGTTATTTCTTGGTTGTCCTTCAAACCAAGAGACTCCTCACGACAAGGCCTTCAAACCAAGAGACTCCTCACAGGCCCAAGTCACCTGCTGGAGTTCCGCAAACAAAATGGCTGTGGCAACCAAAAAGCCGGAATTCCAAAATGGGTTCTCCGATCGGTCAGTGGAAAAACATGGGATCCCCAAACCTGCGGTTTGCCCCGATCGTTTCATTTCGAGCCACGCCCAAATCCGGCGCCGGAGGTGACGGAGATGTCGCGCTTCCTGGCGCGGCCCACGGACTTTGCCTATTTGGTCACCGAGGTCACCGCCGGCGGCCAAGTGCGCCCGGGGACCCGGGGATCGACGAAAGATCGACGAAACGGAGCGCGGTTGGTCGGGGCTCCTTTGAGGCGTAGCCCCAGATTTCTGGCGCGCGCGGAGGTTTTTTTTGGGGGAGTTTTTTTTTCCAGGAATGTTCGTGGAGGTTTTTCGGAAGGCTACGGAAGGTGGTCGTCATCTCAAGTGGGAGGGCGGTTGAAGTCAGTAGTGGTGTCATCATTTGCTGTTGGGTCATTGCTTGATCCGGACGCACAGGGCGTAGGTCAACGCATGGGGCGACAATCTGCACCTCCCCCTGCGGTTGGAGACGTCCGCAATGTGGCCATCTATGAAGGTTTTGGGTGCAAAACCATGGAACACTACACCTTGAAATGATGCGTCTTCCAGCGAAAAGATCTAGCGAATACATTATTCGCGGCCTCTTTTGCAGCTTGAATTGATATTACTGCCCGCACTTGTTTCATCATCTGCATCCTCAAAAAGGAAGGACAACGATGGACAATCCCGTAATTGGCTGACATTCATTGAGAGTGCTCCAAAAGTTTAGATGGGACGACAGGTCATGTAGCGTCTCATAGCATAATCCTTCTCTTGGCGCCCTGCTGGATTGCAACCAACAATGCTTAACCAAGCCTTCATCAAGGTAAAACGGGGGGCAGAAGTGCTGCCTATAACAAGCAACCATTCTTTTCTAAGATGTAGCAAACCAAAAGACTTGCCAGATTTGAACACTGTTGCTCAGCAACCTATCCAATTAGAAGCCGAAAACACGGGCAATGGTTGCGGCAGCCAAGATGTATTTTGCTGATATTATGTTTTCTCCCTGGACAGGTTGAAACGATGATCTTTGAAGCACGATCTGCGGCAAGCACTTTGCCAGGGTGAAAAAGTCGGATCGGGATGGTCATTGACCCTTTCATGATCTGCAGTTTGCGAAGAAATGATGTATAGATCCTGATTTCACTCCCTAGGTTTATGGACTTTGGTTACTTTCTGGGTTTGGACCAGCTTAGTGGCAAATAAAGCAAAGCAACGCCTTCGTGGCCAATCCACTGGACCGGACGTGAGTCTCAGGCTCGATGACCATCACCCGGGGCGCCTTGCTGCGGGAGACGGCTCTCAGGCGACGGGCTGAGGGCCTGAGGGCGTGAGCTGCGCCCGTGGCCGAGCGGGTGCGGAAAACCGCCAGTTTGGTGTACACCGGGTTGGCTTGGTAGACCGCTGGCTCGGTAGGGCAACCAGGACTTGTTTTTTTTTTTGTTTTTGAGCAGCCCGTTTTGCCGGTGTAGAAAGCCCTTGACAGAAAGGGAGGCGGTTCGTGTCACGAAGCTAAACCCTAGAGTTCGAACACACGGAAGGCGTTGGATGGCAACAAGGAGGACTTGTTTTTGAATTCCTCGGAGGGAGTGAACAACACATGGCGAGCGGCAAGCCAGCAGGCCTGAGGTGTAGCAGCACGCCTGTAGCAAGCTGGGCAACCTTTCGGGCTTGGGAGGGGAAGCAACGGATGTGAGCTGCAAAACAAAACTGTTTGGACATCGACCCTTTCAAGGTTTGCTTTTGGGTGTGGCTCAAAATGAAACAGGAGGGGCAAACCGCAGGTTTTGGTCCCTGTTTCCACTTACCAGGGTAACCCATTTTGGTACCGGTTTTTTGAGCCACAGCCATTTTGGTGAGCATCCGCAGCCCCATGTTTGAAGCAAGTTCCGTAAGTTGTGCTTTGAAGGTCAATCGACCCGTCTAAGCAAAAGAGGGTACATGGAATTTTCATGGACATCGTGTCCATGTCGTGGAAGAAATCCATTTCGCACGCTGCCCAAGAAGACACAAGTAGCATCCACCGGTTTTTTTGCCTTGGGGGGTCTGAATTTTCATGGACCATGTCCATAGGGCGTTTGACAAGACACAAGTAGCATCCAGTTGGGTCTGGAGGTGACAAGTTGCTCAGTTGCCAGGCCGCGGGATCTGAGGGCAGTGTCCGCCCAGGACCCAGAACAACCCGATCCAGGGACGGGCCCAAAGAAGTGCCGCGTGATCAAGTCGGAAGGATAGAACCGCCAAGGGAGCTTTTTTTTCTTTCTTCTACAGTGGATGGTGGCGAAATCCATATTTTTCGTGCGAAATGAAACCATGGTTGAAACTGTTGTGGGTGTTGGGGGATCGAATCATTCCCTTGGGTTCCTTAGGTGGTGCGAAATGGATTTCGTCCACCGTAGTTGTTCCATGTTCTTGCCAAGTTGGAGTTGTAGCTTCCGCTCACCTTGCAAGCATCAAAGTGTTTCCTTCTTTCCTGAGCCGGAAAACGGTTTCCTGAGAGACGGTCCTAGAACCCGTTTCCTGGAGCTCGAGGGCGATTCAACTTTGGAGTCCTTGGGTTTGTCAGTGATGGAGCATGGCACCCAGACCACACGTTGACCGATCCGTTGACGGATCTGTTACGAGGTGTTGGATGGGCTGGAGACATGCGCCGTGTTTGACGGCAAGAGTATTTAGGCTTGGATATGCTGGAGAGTCTGACTCGAACATTGTTGCATGGCACTTGCATGCATGTGGACTCGCTAAGAATGGTGTCTCCCTCTTTCATCCATCTACTTTGTCTGGCTCTGCACAACACACGCTGAATAGTTGGACCAGAACAAGTTTTCCACCCCATTCCCGTACTTCACTTGCCATTTGGGCCCCGCGTTTCACAGTGTCTACCTCGCCGGTCTTCGGTTCAACGCCTTCTTTCGTGAGGCAGCTTTGATAAGAATCGCTTCCAGGGCGCGTCAATTCTTCGCCCCCGGTCTTTCGCGCCCTCGTATTTTTTTTTTGCTTGTTCCCTCCCACCTTCTTCTTTCTGGTCTTCTGGAGCCCGTTTTTTTTGGGGGTAAAAATTGTCGTCGGGTTTTTCCCCGTCGCTTTTCCGCGCCCATGCTCCCTTTCCGGGCCGTGCGCTCGCGACGCGCGCAGCTCCGGTTCGGTCCAGGTGCGGCCCTCCGGTGGCTCGGAGGTGGGCCCCATGCTGCCTGGATGGGAGATGGTCCGTTACGAAGGGGTCGACTGGGAAGTGGTCTCCGCATTTTTTTCGGTGTTCAGAAAGCCGGTCTCTGGCTGGTTTTCGGGAAGCTTTTGGGGGGGGGGGGTGGGCTTGGAGCATTTTCCTGGGACCGGGTCAAGGTCAGGTTCCAGACGTGTTGATCAGGTCCCATGAAACTGGGATGACCATTGGCCCGGAAAAAAAAACAGTCTTTTTTTTTTTTAAATCTTTGTTTTGACCTTTCAACCACATGGGAATATTGATCAACCCCCCGTGGTAGATAACGGTATGTTCACCAAGGGCTGAGGAGGGTCTGAGGATGCATGAATCACAGAGAATCCCTTGGAAAATCCTTCAGAGAGTTTCAGGGATCCTGGAGCTGTCGGCTTCTTTGGGCGTGGGGTGCAACCGATTTTTTGGGCGACAGATCAATACCTTATGATATGTGGGTACAGGGGACTCAACAAGCTGGGGGCTTGCTCGATTCCCATGTAGGCATCCTTTCTTCCTTCGACTGTTCTACACAAAGTTGCTTGCCACAAGCCGCTTGGGCTTCCTTTTGGCCGGCCCTTGTCAAGAACCCTCCCTGACAGGGCAGGCGGAGAGGCGGCCTGAAGCAGTAGAAACACGGGATCGCAACATCATCGATGTACGATACGCGTTCTTCCTCAACTCCTGCGGCCTCGGCTTGAGGGGAGCTCGAATCTCGAATCTCGGCTCTTGGCATGAGGGTTTGGGGTGCGTGGGAATCCTCGCAAGCATCGCTCCTGCTTACAGAAGAGGCTTTGGGGATTTCAGGCATGCCTGGGCTTGTGCCCTGTTGACACTGCTTGTGGCTGCTTTTTTGTTTTGGTTTTTGCCCCCGCAAGTGCCAAGGCTTTCTAGCAGGCCGGGCCGAATCGCATTCGCGATGTCATGGACGATTTCAGGCTAGAATCTTGTCAGGGAGCCTATGATCTAGCCAGCGCAGTGGGAAAACAACCTCTGCCCTTGCTTGGTCGGGCCCTTCGGGCATGGTCTCGTCGTCCTCACCTCTCTTTGGCAAGTTCAAATTCTGTAGTTGTCCACGACCCCAGAGCCGCGCCCTTCGGCAAGTGGCCCTGTTTCCAAAGACTCGCAATGATGACCCCTTGGTACACGCATTGAGACCACTTGGATCTATGCCATACTTCAAGGCCCTGTCAAAGGGTCAGACTTGAAGGAGTTCGAAGAAAGGGAGCACCTAGTTGGTTCCGAAATTGCGGATGGGGCAGTTCTTTTTTTCCGCTGAGCCACACTGAGTCAACTGAATCCGACTTCAAATGCGCTGGGATATCCTGTCGGATGCGTGAAACCATGGTCACCTCGAGGCATGTTGGCGATGCCGCAAACCTCAACAGAAGACTCATCAGGAAAGAGCCACGATGCATCGACACATCCTGACGTCTTTCAGTAACACATACTGTATTTCAATTTCCCGAAGACAACCTGAGAATTTGGTTGTGCCACCCGCAAAGTCAGCACATCTACTTGCTTTTCTGACCCAGAATCATGCAACACGGTCACCTGCCAAGCTTTTCGACCGGAACCGCACCGCCTTCCCCTTCCTCGCACTGCCTGCCGCATTTTTCTTCCCCATGGAACCCTGAAAAGGGGTCGACTTCGAAAGGGTTCCACTTCCCAACAACAGATTCCTGCAGGAGTTGGGGTCCCAAAAGGCAATTTCCAGGTCTGCAAAAGGGCTCCCGAAAGACATTGGTTCGTTCCATGTTACTTGACTGCTATTGGGTTGGATCTTTAGACTTTAACTTTTTGGGAAATCAAGGGGTTTCCCACTAAACCCACAAAAAGTTAAACTTTTTGCAGAGGGGTCAACAGAAACCAAGGTTACTTCAGACCCCCTCCGACTTGGAAAGTGGCAGGCGCTCGGGGCTGCTCCTCGGCCTCGGCGGGGTGCGGGCGGTGGTGGAGGAGGCGACGCTTGCCGATCGAGCCGGCCGATGGAGCCAAGTCTTTCTGGTTCACCAAACCACCTTTTTCCCTCTTTCAAACACCATGTTGGCATAGACTCCGGGTGTTTGGGGCATAGACTCCGGTTGTTTGGGGCATAGCAACTTCAGCAAGGAGTTGTTCCGGGCCCCCAGGTGTTATCATGAAGGTATCGTCGCAGACAAACTCCTTCACCTTGCGCCTTTGACTCGCCATCGAACTGCTGAAGCGGGAAGCCGATGGGCCAATTCGGTTTCGGAATTGTGATTCTACCCAAAGCAGGCAAAGCTGAGTGTGAAGCACTTTCACTGTTGAGCTACCACAAAGGGCAGAGGGGTCTTGTAGACAGGCAAGTTAATAAGTATGGCCAGCAATCGGGGCAGTACTTGCTCCAGTTTATAAACTTCTATTTTGTGGACCAAAGTTGTTCATCACGTGAGCTGGCAGCTCTGTTGGCAGGCCCTTTGAAATGCCACCAGCGATTGGTACCCTGGCGTATGGAAACAAAGACCTGCACCTGCAGTTTGCCCCGGCTGTAGAGATTTGTGCAACCAACCATTGAATGCGGGTGATCAATCCGCAAAAACCGGGCGAGCGCCGAAGCACAAGGCCTCTTGCGCTCACTTGCGCCAGGAGCGTGCCCTGATGTTCGGGCCGCCCGGGCGCGCCGGGGACCTGGCCAAATGGGCCTTGTGTCCTGGTTCTGCCGGAGGTTTGGTTGGTTCGACCCTTTGCCATTTCCTCTTCCTTTTGAAAGAAAGTGATGGCCTGCCTTTTGTGCAGGGGAGCCATTTCTGGCCTTGCTGGATATCGGTGACAAAATGAGCATGCCAACGCTTTCGGAGGGGTATGGAGATCATGAACTTCTTGAGGGAGCCGTGACCTTTGAAGGCAACTTGTATTTCTCAGACTTGAAGCTGAAGACACCTCGGTCGAAATTTGCTCGAGCACCATTCTTTTAGAGCCCTTCGAAAGTGACACAAGTCTGCTACATTTGGTGGTTGGACTCTCGATTCGTTTGGTGTGGAGGTGACGACATTGGTTGCAATCAGTTGCTCACCATCTTCTCATGTCAGGGGCACGATGAATATTGATGGTTATTATCAGGATTGCGATGCCAAGTTCCCAAGCGGGCAGTGTGGGGAAACACCAAATGACATCATGATCTAGGACACTGTGTGCAAAAAACGGGTCTGCCCTTTCTTTTCTTAGCGTACCCCCTAACTTTTCGGATTTCTTGGTTTTTCTTTTGGTTTCCCTTGTGAAAACCCAAAAAAGGCGGGCCCCCGGTTTTGAGGGTCTGACCCTTGGCCTTCCATGCAGGACCAGATCCGCTTCCTGCGTGTCTTGGAGAACCAGAAGCGCCTGGCGGCGCAGGAGATAGGCGGGGAGGTGGTCTCAAATGGCTGTGGCTCAAAAAACCGGTACCAAAATGGAACCCTGTAAGTGGAAACATGGACCAACACCTGCGTAACCCTAGCTTTTTCATTTTGAGCCATACCCAAATGAAACCAACGTCGTGGGGGTCCCGAGCGGCTGAAAAGCTGGGGGGTTCTACGGAAATCAAGCTGCCCGGGGGATCTTTTTGGACGTCTTGCAAGCTGAGCCTGTCCAGATGCTTGGCAATGCAAGTTGGCGTCCTGAAATTTCAGCCGGGGGTCGTTGTTGCCCCGCACACGTCCCTAACTTACCACACGAGATGCTGGGATGAGCGAGCTTTGTTATTGTTGGGCCCAAAAGGCAGGGCTTTCTTTTTCCGTGCCAAACGCCCTTCGGACGTTTCTGGTGCAAGCAACACGATTGATGGCTTGAATTGCTGTGCAGTTTTGGGGTCACCTTATGTCACCTAGCTGTACTTGTTTGATATGATTTGGACAACCCCGAGCCGGCCAGCAAAGCCACCACGCATGTTTGCCAAGTCTGCCAAAGCTAGCTAGCGAGCCAATATGGAGGAAGGAGCTGCTATTCCCTTCGGCCCTCAAATGACCAAGGGTTGAGATATCAAAACTAATTTTAGGGTTTTTTTCACCATGTGGTTGAAATGTCCAAATGATTTTAGTGGCTTTGCGTTTCCAATGGTCATCCCATTCGGAGCGTTTGATCCACCCACATGAGTTGAACCCAGCAGGCCTGGCGCAAGCGGGCAGCTTCCGGCGCGGTCGGGGGGGGGCGCCTGGGCACGTGTTACCCCAAGGCTTTCTACCCGATCGCCCCCTGCAGTACACTCAGGGAATGTTTCCAATTCGGGGGCTGGGTCCAAGGAAAGGGGGTTGGACATCTGAAACATTTGGCCAAAGGGGCAGCTGGCACGTGAGTGGTTAGTAAGCCTGGGTATACAGCCCACAACAGCCATGGTGAAAAGTCGTTGTTCAGTGGGTTATATTCAGGCTGACCAACCGCTTACGTGGCGCAGCTGATCGGCTTTTTGAGTAGTGCGCCGAGTTTCCAAACATTTCGACAATTCAGCTGGACCTCCAGCATCTGCACCGTTTATCGAGTTCCCCCTATGTGAAATGTGACTCTATCCTCATTTTGTGGGTTTGCCTCCCTGGGTTGAGCTTTTTTGGGAGCCTTGGATCGCATTCTTTGACATTTCTGGGCTTGGAAATGTGGGCAGGATCATCACAGGAAGTAGGTAAGTGGTCGTGGTGGTCGTCAGGATAATTGTCGTTGACCCCTTCAACGTCGTAGTGTTTGCGACCTTAGGATACCTGGGACTCTGGCAGCCATACTCCTCACGCTTGGTCCTTTGAACTGAGGTTCTTAGCCATTTTTTTTTCTTTTTTTTTTTCTGTAGTTATCAAAGGAAACCAAGAAGGCTGCAACTACGAGATACCATTGGGATGCCTGTGGCTTGGGTGATTTTCTCCCCTGCCAGCAGTGCGGGATTTCACCTACTGACTATTCTTGTGGGTAAGCCCAGCCAAAACAGAAAACAGCTTCTTCGAAAACTCATTTCCTGAAATTCCGTGGCTCATTCTTCAAAAACTGCGGGTCTTCTTAGGCCCATGCCACACCCATCTGGCAGTGGGTCAAAACCAATAGTACTATCTTGGGGTAGGTTGGATTGAATCGGATGTTCACTGGGGGTACGGGCTTTGGGATTTTGACCCATGGCCATCTGACCGACACGGCCAGCATGATCTTTGTGGAGAGCGCTCTCTTGGCTCTGAGCCGGCGCCTTGCGTCGAGGCGGAACGAACCGGGTGGGGGGGGGCCAAAACGACTCGGAGAATTCGGACGCGGGAACGCAATTTTGGGTTTTAGATGCCCAGGAGGTGTTTTTGGGTGGGTTTGAAGAGAAACCACCATCTTGGGGCCTCCTATTCTTGCTGGTGATCAGTAACGAATGACCTAGTCCGGGTTTTGGGCGGAAGGGGATTCCCTTCACAACCACAAAAGATGGTCTATAGGGGTCGTTCCCTCATCAGCAAGTTAATGTTGGTAGTGGTCTGATCATGAAACCTGCATTTGATTTGCAAACTCGAGTCGGAAGGGTGATGAGAAGCAACGGGCGGCAACAAGCAGGTTTCGTGCACTGTAGTCAAGTTTTCCCTCCTTTTCGAGTATGTCTCCAACGGTCAGTTTGCGGAGGGGTTTTTGTGGAAGGATCCGACCTGCTTGTGGCAGCGTTCTGAGGATTTGGCGGTTCTCTCGACGGCAAAAACCGGGTGCGCCAAAATCTAACACTGTGGCCACTCCCTAAACTTGAGATTTTGACCTATCACCCCAAATCTCCCCGCTGTTTGTGGTGCTAATGCAAAGGTGTCAAACATTCACAAGGATGAACGTATTAGAATGAAGTTTAGACAAAAATAAAGCGTGTATCAGCTTTCAGAAGGTCTCGACACTAGCGACCAACATATAGACAAAACAAACACGGTGTTTCGTTCTAGTGCCAAGGTGTCACCCATTCACAAGGACTCAAACCAAAAAGACAAAACACACCAAACAAAAACACGCCCAGACAAAAAGGATCCATGAAGCCCCGGTTTTTCATCGAAATTCATCGAGCTGCCCGCCATCAGCGCGCGCCCCTCGCGCGCGGCGCGCGCGAGGCTCCTGGAGATCCGGCAGCGCACGGAGCCGAAGCTCCGGGCGCCCCCGGTGCTGCGGGAGCCCGGGAACCTGAAGCGGAGCGGATGGCCGGGGCGAGGGAGCGAGAGGGGGGCGGGAGTGTAGGAGGTGACGTTTGCCCGGTTTGGATATGTGGCTCGTCTTCTTGCTTGTTGAGGGGGAAATTCAATCAACATGGCAAAAGTTGGGTTTTTGCATCTGATGTCGCTTGAAAACGAGAAAGAGAGAGGCCGCGGTGCCAAAGAAAGGACGCAGTTAGGTGGAGAACTCGTGACTCAGTTGCCAAGTTGCCTCACTTTGTGCCCCTCGTTGTCTCAAGCTGAGCGGCCCCCAGTCACGAAGTGAATCTGCTAAAAAGGGCGATTATCGCGGAATCGAACATACTGTGGATGGGCGAAATTCATTTCGCACCCCCTAAGGAGCCCTGGAATGATTCGATTCCCCAACGCAAATGCTAGCGAACGTTATGGAATCCATTGGTTTCCAATGGGTGCGAAGCGGATTTCGCAACCATCCACAGTATTGAGATGCTGAGTGATGACCCAGAATCAGCCCTGGCACATGGGACATGTTGTTCTTTCAGGAGTCAACCCCAGAAAAATATGCGTCTTTTGCGCCAGTATTGTGTGGGGAGAACTTCCGGTCCTGATGAGCCCCGATTGGTAGCCGATGGGGTAGGCCAGCCGACGAAACTCCTTCTGGTCTGATAGAGACCTGCAAGGCCCCTTTTCCTGTCACTTGTCCAACGTAACCAATAGTGGTAAGCCTTTTCCACTTGCTTCCCCAGCAAGCTTTTCATGCGAAGATTTTGCCTGAAGTCCGTTCGCTGACATCAGTTCGTGTTTGTGTGTGGCAGGGCGGCGTTTTATTCTTTCCAGCTGGTTTGCAGGAACGCAGCACCTTTTCCAAACGAAGATTGGGACAATATTCGGTTCAGCACCACTGATGGTGCTGGATTTGCTTCGTAGAATATCCCAATTCTAAGCTTCAAGCTACTGGAACTTGAAGTTGGTGACAGGCTCAGGCTTGTTTTGGTCTATTCCCGAGGCACAAACCATGGAGCGAAATGGCCAAAAAAGGCCAGCCGGAACCGGGCCCCTTACATCCTGTACTCTTGACCCATTTTTTTGTCAAGCCCATCTTTTCTTTTTAAATAAAGTTTTTTTAAGGGGGGTGGTTTTTGGCCCCTTCAAAAGTGGTCGGATTCCCCACATTTCACCCAGGTTGACACCCCCCTATGAAAAAACTGGGGTTGATCAATATGTGGTCAACACTTCCTTGAAGTCTCCGTGTCACGCAAGGCTTGTGAGGTTAGTCTCTCCTCTGCGCCCTGTTTGGAAATTGCGATCTCTGAGGCCTGATTTGGAAGAGGCTGGGGGTGGAGACCGAAATGCCTGCCCCTCACTCCAGATGCTTAGTTGGCCTTTTCGGGCCAACTGCGGGTAAATCCGATTTTCAATCCAGTCTTGCTTGATGCAAGCGCCTGATTGATGCGCTCGCTTCTGGATTCATGAGGGGTGCGGCTTCCCCTTTTCGTACACCCACATCACCCGTCAGCCGCATCCTGTAGCTGGTCTTCGGGGCTCAAGAGGCGACATTACGGTTGCGGGCGTAACTCAAAAAAAACAAAACCTATCTCAGATTCTTTAAGGGGATCTCTCCCCCCCATCCCATCCCCCATGTCTTTGAGCCAACTGTGGCTTTGCAGTTTGGGCTTGGGGGATTGTGGTTGCGCTGGGACAAATTTCACTGACTCATGGCTGGACCGCCCTTGGCTTGCAGGTGCGCCAATTGCGGCGGTCCTTGGTTCGCTGCGCCAGCCCGGCGCCCCAGTGGCCAAGCACCTGTGGCATTCGAATGTGGAACCTGCGGTTACTCGAGCCACAAGGAGCTCATGTAACGTCCTTGTCCCAGCGTAGTGTCGCAAACAACTTCGTAAGGGAATGTGTTGTGCATGTATGAACATGACATCTAAGGTAAATGTAGTGTACGTGCGTGTAATTGAATGGGATGTGATTGGACATGCAGTGATGTCATGCAGGGCAATGCACCGATATGTAATGTCAATGTCGTGTATATATATATATACATATTATATTTAGGTATACACATGTACACATGGAACTTGAATGCCCTTAAGATGTGTATCGGTCGGCGCTGCAAATGTGAGGTTTCCTGCCAGCATCTGGAAACAAAATATCTGGTCACTTAGCATCCTTCTGGGCTCTGGGGACAGGCTCAGCTTACATCTACACTCCCTCAGACTCACATGTAAGCTCCAGGACCCTGACTTGGTTCCATTTGGGGGAGCTTCCGGCTGTTAGCCTCAGGGAGTGTAGTTTGCGCTTTGGGAGCTTGGCAAGTCGCCGACTTTGGCTTGAAGCCCACTTGGTTCCGCCGCGCTCAGGCCAAGCCTCCGCAGTGCCGGGCGCCTTGAATCGACCGGGTGCCGCTGTAGGACCATAGGAAGGAGGCGTCTGGTGACTCTTGCGAGCTGAATTCGACAAAGGACACTCGGTGCTAAGATGTTTTTTCTGTCGCCAGGTGAACTACACTCCCTGAGGCGGAAGCTCCCCCAGTTGGCCGATCCGGTAAATGGAACCAAGTCTTCCATTTCGGGGTCCTGGGAGCTTCCATGTTAGTCTGAGGGAGTGTAGATCTCTTGGTGGGCGCACTTCGGCATGCCGGCGCTGTGGCTCTAAAAAATCGCCGAGGTCTTCGTCTTTGCTGTCTCGGCTGGACGGGGATGAGGCCCCGCCGCTAAAACGGAGTGAGAACCGTGGCAAAGCATGCTGTCTCAAACAAATCGCACACACAAATACCTACGCACGGAGTGTGGCGGTGTGCTCAATTTCCTTTGCAAGGGTGAAAACCCAGGGGGTGACCCGTTGGCACTGCATTGGGGTCGCACCGCCGATAATCCAGACTCTACATTGAACGGAAAGCAGGCTGAACATCACTCCAAAAGATGCGCGCCTAGAAGGGAACCAATAGCAATGAATCTCATGTGGAAATCTCGGGTCTGACAGGAAGTGATGTGACCGTCGTTTCAGACAGCTCCGACGCTTCTCCCAGCCTGAATTCCTGTTTTCAACACCCATGCCTTCCCGTACTCCTTTGGTGATTCGCCTTTCTTGATGCGGGCAGTTTTTTGTTTGAGGCGAATCCAATATCTGTTTTTGGAAGCACGTGCTGAGACTGTCCAATGGTATTCCGCCAAACTTTGCGCGCCCCGCCCATTTTGGCGTGGAACCTTGCCTGCTTCTTGGGTCTATGGGCCGGGGGGGGGGATTGTTCTCAAGTCTGCAGCCAGTAACCTCGCAAGGCCAAGCTCCTCGCTGCGGGGGACGGCGATTCTGCGGCAGGGCGGCCCAAGCGGGGGTAAGGGATTACTTGGAACTGTGCTACCGTAGGTGGCCTTTTGATCGGTCACTTTGCTTGAACCATTTTTGCCACTGGTTGCATTTGGTTCCAATTTACCAGCTGGGTTACCAAAGCAAAGACACCTATGCCTATGGGTTGAGTCGTTCAAGCCAGGAAGTGCTCTTTGCAGGGAGCGTGCTCCGCCTAGAGATCTTGGGGCTAGTCACGTCTCGCCAGTTTCCCAGGCGCGAAAGGCGCGCCCGCGTCTCTTTGTTTGGGGCTCGCCGGGACCCGTGACATGCTTCACCTAGGTTGTACTTTTTTGGCTGGGAGGGTTTCGAAGCCTACTAAAATCGACCACAGCAAAAAGAAACGGTACCCTTATTCTAACCTCTCAAATCTGGAGGACATGGTTCCCCTTGGATCCGGAAGCCTTCTGCGGGTGCTCCTTCCGGTTCCAGTTTTGTCCTGGGAGGCCTCCCACGACGAATGGGAAGCGCTGCTGGAGGCGTACCTCCAGGCGCGAAGCCGAAGACAAATCGCCGGGTCTAGGGCTACTGCAGGGTGTGAGAGGTGAGCACCTCTGCCAGTTTTGTTTGGTTGCTTGGTTGGTTGGTTGCTTGCTTGCTTGTTTGCTTGTTTGCTTGCCGGCTTGCTGGCTTGCTTGGTAGGTTGGTAGGTTGGCCTCTTGGGACCCCAGGGGGGTTTGGGGTGTCTTTTGCAGTCACATGGGAGGGGCTGCACTTGACGCGAATCTTGGGGAAGTCTGGATTTCCCTCCAATGCCTTGTGGTCAATGCCTCAGGATTGCGACACGATGCGTTTCATTGGCTGGCCGGTCCCAAAAAATCGCAGAGAAAGCTTCGAATGCTGAGGGGCAGGTTCAGACAGCTACCTAACGATCGATTCGGTGTCTCAGGCGAGTGGTTCAGCCTGGTTACAACCCCACTGAACGGAGACTTGCCTCCATGGCGTTTGTGGGGTATCTCACCAGGCTTACTAACCACGTAGCTGACGTACCCGATCGCCCCCTTAAGTAGGGCCAGTCCAAAGACCTGGCGACAGTTGGATTTCCTTGTGCAAATCCTCTTCTTGTGGAAGGCATGTTGCTCAAGTTGGCGTGTCCGGCGCTAGGCCTACAGCGAGCTTTCGAGGCAATGTACCTCCCTTCTGATGGACATTGAGGACCGGCCCTCGGCTTTGATCAACCATACTCAAAGAAGGCAAAAAGCACAAGGATAAGGAGCCTTTTTGCAAATAGATGAGTCTCAAAGGGGTAGGGTACTTGGTAAGTGGTTAGCAAGCCTGGTACGGAGCGGGGACTGCTAAACCACGGCTTATGTGGGTAACCGCATACCTGAGGTACCCGATCGCCCCTTTAAGTAAGTCTTTTGTGGGTAACCCGATTGAGTACAGCTTGATGTCGAATAAATTGGTGGATCCAGCCGGTGAAAGCCGACTCGGAGCGGGGATCCGGCCTAACCTATGGCCATGGGTTGCATCACCTATGGCGATCCCGTTCCGGGGTGGATGAACATCCATTTGATTTCCATCTATTTTTGATGTTCACCAGGGGTTTCCTGGGTTTTGACAACCACAGCCATTTTTTGGTTGCTTTGATAGAGGGAGCCTTGCGGAGCTAGCGATCGGAGTCCCGTAAGCACGTGGTAGGGATGCTCGTGCGCTTGGACAGTATACGGATGGAACTTTGTTTCAATCATGATGCTCAGCCAGTTAGAGCTTAACCCTGTGGCTGGTCTGAGCCAAGCTGCGGGTTGTGGCTTCTCTAAAGGCTAGTCGCGGCAACTCATTCCAAAGATTGGCAGATCCGGAGGTTGTCGCCTGCATGTTGCTGGCTGTGCCAGTGGGGCTTCTTGGTTGTGTATCTGAATTTGTGGTTCAGTGTGCCGCAAGACACGTTCGGGATCGAACTCCACAGGCAGCCCTTGAGCCAGCTGGATTTGGATGGGGTGAGGTTGAACCTTTGCCGCTTGTAGGTAAAGTTGGTCGCAACCAGTCGGTTTTCCACCTCAAAGCCGCGGAGAGATTTGACTCTGGGCACCTGAGTAAACTTGATGCCTCCACTACGAGGCTCCTGGTTGAATTGTCTGCGAGCTTCCGAGATTCAAAGAAGCATGGCCCAAACGGGGCAAAGAAAGCGAGGCTTGAGCTCTCAAGGCTTTGAGTTGCTTGTGTAAGGGTCCTGGAGAGGAACACCGCCATATAAACTGTGGTTGGTGAATAGGGTCAGCATTGGAGACCTTGGACTGCATCCCTAGCTGGTTTCGTGTTGGCTCCCTCTAAGCCAACAAAGTTCTGTCAGAACTCCCTGCACTTTGAGACCTCTATCCAGCCAACAAAGTTCTGTCTTAACGCCCCGCACTTTGAGACTCAGGCTATCTCTGAGCATGTGCAAATGGGCCAAAGAGACACCAACTTCAGAGCATCCAAACGGATCCGTGCTGCCCATTGCCTTCGGTTTCCAGCCCTCGACCTACACCCCAAGCCACAGCTCGGGAGAGCGCCACAGCCCCTGACGCAAAAGGTGATGCTGACCAGCAACAAAAAGGGGTCAGTTCCCCCTTCGAACCCCATGAAAACCCTTCAACACCCCTTGAAACCACACCAAAAAAACAATTCAACACCCAAAAACACCAATCGCAAACCTTCGTGCAACTGAACTCCAGCCAGCGAGGATTTCGAAGGCTCCACGAGCCTGGCCTTGCAGGCGGGGGAAGCGCCCCAAGAGATCCACAAGTAGAAACACGTGGGGATGCAGGGGGGGCTTGTGGTGGAACAAGTGGAAGCACACGTGCTTGGTTGGAGTGGAGATGGGGTTTTGGGGTTCTGGTAGAGGTTCTCCCCTAAGTGAATTTGCAACATTGGGGTTACTGGGTGAGGAAGGGATCTGATTTTTGCCACCGCTTGAGATTCTTGTGATGCTGGTGCTGGTGTAGGTATGTCAATGATGCCAATGATGCCAGTGATGCCAGTGATGCCAGTGATGCCAGTGATGCCAGTGATGCCAGTGATGCCAGTGATGCCAGTGATGCCAGTGATGTCAGCCATGCCAATACTGCCAGTGGTGCCAGTGATGCCAGTGATGCGGACGATGCCAGCGATGCAGCGATGCCAGTGATACTAGTGATGCCTGAAGTTCAATTGATGCTCAAACTGTCCGTGCTACAACCGTGATGAGACGCAGTGATGCTGGCGAGGAATGCTGTCGATGCAGCTGGTGTAGCTGCTCAACTGTCCAATGAGATGTTGTTCGTAAAGATTTGGATAACCAGTTAATGTGTGATTTGGTGCTGCTGCTGCTGCTGCTGCTGCTGCTGCTGCTGCTGCTGAGGATGATGGCATGATGTGGACAGCTAGCAAGTAACGCTGGCGATTCAGGTGATGCCACATTTGTTGCTTACGATTTGGCCAGCCAGCGATGCAAGCAAAAGCTATTGCAGGCGGTGGCCCCGCTTGCAACTTTCTTGTAGACACGAGCGTTTGCTCTGCTCGAGGCGCGGCGTTTGCGAGTGGAGCAGTTCGAGCTGAGCCTCGTCATGGCCCAAGGTGGCTGCGCTGTCGGGTGGATGTGAAAACTCAATAACTTTCCGTACGCATGGCCTGCCTCGGATTTCGTGGGCGGGTTTCTCCTTTTGCCCCCGGCCACTGCAGCTTTTTCGAGCCTGTGAGTCCGAGGTCATTGCCTCGGTGTCCATTGCCGCTGGGGGCCTGGTGCCAGGCCGGGGAACTGCTTCTCCCCGAGTTCCGGCACGGACTTTAGTCACTTTTTTGGTTTGGACCGTTTGAGTGGTGAATAAACCAATTGGATACTTTTTTGGGCAATTCACTCGGGAGGTGAGTCATTGTAGGGCTTCCTCGTTGTCCCGCTGTAGCCCTTGGATAAGCCCCGGATCTCTGAAGAGTTCTGTTGGGGTTCCATGAAGCGGCTGGGGTTCCGGAGGGTAGGTGCGAGGGTTCTACTACTACTTCTACTACTACTACTACCACTACTACTATAATAATAGTACTACTACCTCTTCTACTACTACCCCTCCTACTACTACTACTACTACTACTACTACTACTATTACTACTACTACTACTACTACTACTACTACTACTACTACTACTACTTCTACTACTTCTTCTACTACTACTACTACTACTACCACTGCTACTACTACCACTACTACTACTGCTACTGCTGCTGCTGCTGCGGCGGCTGCTGCTGCTGCTGCTCTGCTGCTGTGTTTTTTGTTGGATCCCGATTCATTCGATTTAATCCCTCAGCTCACTTTGGTGGGATGTGATATAATTCACGCGTATTCATATATATATATATATACACATACACACACATGTAATATGTATAGTCTTTTTTTCATTTTGACTCCTTGGAAAGGAAGGCCGAAAGGAACCTGGGGCCCTAAAAGGAGAAGCAGCTGAATTGGCGTGAGGCATTTGGGGAGCCTGCTTCATCCAGCGCTCTCATAAGCCTCTCGTTGCCCTCCCTGTCAAAGCTAATCCCGACGCCTTCGCCGGCTCCCACAGGCCAATCGCCAGAATGGTATCAACTGACGGGGCCATAATTTCGAGGCAATCCCACTGAAAAAGCACGTTGCTGTAGGTCAAAAAATATGTACCCAAAATGGAACCCTAGTAAATGGAACCAACGACTCGTAGCCCCACGTTTCACTGACAGGTGCCATGGGAATGAACCTGTTGACCGGCTGGGAGAATTCAGCCGATACCTCAGGCAACGGGGAAATGGGTCTCCCCAACACGCTCTTCCGTGTGTGTGTGTGTGTGGCTGGGTCCGTGCCTTGCGCATCTTCCGGGGTTGCAGCAGGATCTCAGTACACTTGGAGGGTTATGAATCAGTTGGAAAGTACAGTTGGAGGAAAGTGCAGTTGGTATGGGTCAAAGATTAAACTCATTCTTTCCTTTCAGAGCTCCTGCAAGTATCTCGAACTGAGCATCAACCGGTATCTGGTGCCGGTTGCCACACGTCATAGAAGTGCGCAAACAGACCAAACATACCGCGGACTCGCAGGAGCCACCAAGGCAGAGGTCATAAGTGGGCATGGGCCAAAATAACTTTGGTTCCATTTACCAGGGTTCTATTTTCGGTACGCATTTTTGACCCACAGCCAAGTAGTAAGGAAGCTGCCCTTTCAGAGTGCTTGATTTTTGTTTGCCAACGCAGCCGCCTACTTCATGGCTTCACGAGTTCACCGCTTCGGGTTTGTGTTTCTCGAGCTCAGAAAAACGTCCCCGAGCACTGCCAACTTTTACCCTTTTCTTTTTTGGTTGGGAGGGTTCCCCTACTAAAATAGACTACAGACAAAGGGTACCCTTATTCAAACCTCTCTACTGGAGGACCTAGTCATAAAGTAGCTCCTCCATGTGGAATCTCCAACTCTCATGGGGTTTTGGAGTCGGATTTTGCCCAGCAGGACATTTTCTTTTGTAGCGTGGTTTGGTTTGCTGCACCGGGGGGGGGGGGGGGATTTGTCCAGGGGTTGATTCCCCATTCTTTTCAAACGTCGTTCTTTTTCAAAAACCGGATCCGTTTTCCCAGGGTTTTGGGTGGTTTTCTAGAAAGAATTGGATCCCTGGAAAGAATGGATAATTTTTGCACAGCAGGAAATGTTTTTAGCGTGGTGTGGTTTGCTTCCAGGGGTTGATTCCCCATTCTTTTCAACCGTCGTTCTTTTCAAAAACCAGATCCTTTTTCCCAGGGTTTTGGGTGGTTTTCTAGAAAGATTTGGATCCCTGGAAAGCATGGATAATTTTTGCACAGCAGGACATGTTTTTAGCGTGGTTTGGTTTGCTGCACCGGGGGGGAGGGGGGGTGCCATGGACACCTAGAGTCTATTTTGCAACCATGCCCTGAAAAACCAATACCCCAAAAAGAAGGAGGTTGTAAAATAAACCCTAGGTGTCCACCATACCGGGGGGGGGGGGGGTGGTCGGTTGGTTTTTTTTCTTGCTTGAGGATTCGGCCTTCCGGGTGGCCATCCTGGTCACCTGCCTGGTGGCCGGGCGCCTCCAGTTTCCTAAGTTTCCATGCCGCGACGGAAAGGGGGGAGACACGGGCTAACTTTTGGGGGCTGGGGGGGAGGGACCCAAACAAGCCCTAAATAAGGCCTTGATTCGGCTTAATGAAGGTTTGTTGGGGCTTCCTCCCCCTCTCCCCCCTCTCCCCCAGCCCCTATGATAGCTGGGGGCCAGGCGACCAGTTTTGGATTGGTGGGAGCTGGGCTGGGGCCCGGGATTTGAAGCCTTGGTGTTTGTGGGCACATGGGAAACCGCCCCGGCACACCACCAATCCAAAACCGATTAGAGAGAAGCTGAAGGGGGAAACTTGAACCCAGGGGAGGTTCATTCCCGGCGAAAGGAGAACTCCCAGGTTGAAGTCTAGGTGAGTTGGCTTCCATGTTTCCGTCAACTTCGTCAAGCACGAATAGCTGGTCTGTTTTTGATACTGGGTTTCCATCAACTGCCAAAGAAGGGCCCTGCATTGTGATGCGTGGCATTCCCTTGTCAACAGTGGGCTCCGTTTGGATTGGACACATCATCTGGAATGCGTCAGCGACACATTCAAGAAATAGCATGGTTGTCAAATGCCTTGATTCAAAACTGGAGGGCAGCATTGCAGAGCCTTCCCCTGTTTTTAGCTTTATGGCCGCAACGTGGCATGCGAGCTGCGGGCATTTAGGCGTAAGGTGAGAAGCGAACATGAAAAAACAAACACATGCTCTGCAGCTGAGAGATTCTACGTGGCAAGACACTGCTGGTTGAGGTAAGCAGGCTGTAGGCTTTTGGTGCTTGTGCTTTTGGTCCCATGTTTCAAAGTGGTGCAGGATTTTGTCCATCCACAGCAGCAAGAAGATACACCTTCGTCTGCCGGTCAAGCTGGTCTCACATATAAGTCAGACACATGCAGGTGTGCTAGTGTCAGATGCCGCTTGCGCAGCGCGCTTCGGGAATTTGAGCATTGACTGTTTGGTTCACACCCCGCTTTCACCGAACTTTGTCAGACCCACTGTTTGCTTCGCACCCCCTGTAGGCCTTTCTTTCTTTGCCTCGCGAGGTCATCACTCTCTTCTTCACCATCCGGTTCTTGGCAAGCCGCCAGGGCTTCCTTCTGTAGCAAACCACTCAGGCCAATGTCAGAGACCTTGGCCGCTGACCCACGGGAGATGGCTGTGGCTCTTTTTTTGAGTCGTTACCCCTTTGCTTGGTTGTCTTCAGGGAAACCAAAAGGAAACCCCACAATTTTTTGAGCAACGATTTTGCGGGGATCCCTAAAAACAATTTTTAACAAACACTACGAGGCACCCAGGCCTTCCCAAGCGCGCGCCGGAGTTTTAAGCCGGGAGTGGTCCAGCGACAGGAGAAGCTTTTGCTTGTTGCTCACGGGGGCTCAGGTCACGCTGGATGCCCGAAATGCTGCAAGTAGACAACAGGGGAAACCCGACGTAACTTCAACCTTGGTTTGTTGTTGGTTTACTTGCAATATTTAGAGCATCCACCGTAGGTCCCATAGGCTGCTTGCAGCTCGTCAACTCCAATGCCGCTTTGCCGCCATTCCGGGCGGCGTGTCATCGAGTGTGGGTCAAAAAAGACATGGCCGCCATCATATGTTGAGCTTTTGCGGAGTGAGCGCTTTGGGACTTGTGCTTTGGGAGTTTGACAGACATGTATTATTTGCAACTGATTGCTTGTTGATGGATGAAGTGAATGATCTCGGGTGGTATGTTTACCCCCAAAATGCAGAATAAACGCCTCGATTCTCGATGCTTGAGAGTGTCCGAGTGCAGTCCAATAGGCCCCTGTTGAAGATTGAATCAGTAAGACACCCCTCGCTGAGTATCGAGCTGTGCTTCTTTGTTAGTGGGCGTTGCGCGTTGCTGCACAAGGAAACAATGCGCTCTCACACAAACCGTTCTCGCGCGAGCGATGAGAAGAGGTCCTTGCTTGGAAGATACGAGCTCTCATTCCATGAAGTTGTCAAGTGTTTCCGAGTTTCCTGCGCGAAGCCACTGGTTTTGTAGCACATGGTGAAGCCAATTCAGCAGCTTTGAAGGACATTGATCTTACAAAGCAAAGTCGACGCCAGTATGTGAGACTGCGCTTTGCCACTCAGGAAGCATCAAACGAGGGAGGCCCTTCCATTGCACCGACTCCAACGACTGGGTTGAGAGGTGATGCCATGGCGTCAACTTGCAACCTCTCCCCCAATTACCATGAGCGGAAAGCAGACAGCCCAGGTACCTAGCGCGCTTTCCCATCCGGATCATTTGATCAAGCAACCACACAAACAATGATCCTGGGGGGAGAGTCATCATTTGTGGAAACACCTCTTCTCCTTTCTGATGGGTTGGATTCCTCAAGCCTCTTCCGCAAGCCCGAGCATCGAGTTCTGCAAAGAGGGTCCAACCTCAGGCTTGCTTCTAGGCCCCTCTTTGAGGGAGGCATACACTCGCTTTTCCAGGCTGCATGCGTCTGCCTATTTTGTGGCGATGGGGGGGTGAAGCGAGCTCAAGCCATGGTAAAGATCCTTTGACTTGGGGATCCAATTCTGAATTCAGCTTCTCTTTTTGCTTACGGGAGTCATACACCCGTTTTTGTTTGTAAGAGTCTAAGAGGCTGTATATGTATCCCCGAGCTTGCGCGCGGAAGCTCAGCGCCCCCGTCTGAGCGCTCGAGCGCTGCCAGGCCTCAGCGGGCCGGCGCCGGCGCCGGCGCCGCCCAGCGCGGGGGTCTAGGACTCCTCAAAAAGGCGAAGAGACGCGGCGCGTCTGCGCGTCTTCCTGGCCGGCGGTCGGCGGATGGGATGGGATGGATGGGGCTTCGCTTTTTATCACAGCGGTTGGGATGGGATGGAACATCTAGAGGGAAAACAGCTTACTTAGTGCTTTGGGGATATCCATTTCCTGTCGAGTTTCCTGAAACCAAACCCTTTGACTTTAAGCCCTGGCCAGGTTCAAAGATCCCCACCCGGGTCCCTTGAAGAATGGATGATTTGGGGGAGGGGGGTGACCCCCCTTGGAGATCTCCATGTTTGGTGAGCCATTTTCCTTAAGGTAGGGGGGGATTTTCAAAGGTTCACTCAGGTTCAAAGACCACAAGGCGTGCAGTGGCCTGGGATAGGCGGCCGTTTTGGGACGCTTCTACAACTCCGGCGGCTGCAGCTCATTCAGCTTTATAGCATTTCAGATTTGGTCATTCGCAGTTGGCCCTCAGTGAATCTTGCCATGTCAAGAACAGAAGGTTGCCTTTGGTGGGACTGCAAAAGAATCTTTGCCCCACGGATGACAATGCCAAGATGCACGCCCTCGATCTGGAGCCGTGAACGTTCGCATGTCTGCAAGCCTTTTGCCTTACTCCAAATGCCCCATGCTTTTCTGGAAAGCCCAAGCTGAATGTGTCCATAGTTCAAAGCAAAGGAAGGACTGATCAATACCAAAGAGCAAGTGGTCTTGCGACCCCAAGAGAATTGAGGCAGCCAAACCAAATTCCTGGAATCTGTGGCAAAGCTAGATGTGAGGGTCAGAAGGGACGCTGTGTGTTTGTTTGTGTGTGTGTGTGTGTGTGTGTCACAGCCAATTTCAATCATGCATTGCTGAAGATGAGGCGACACGACATCGCACTCACTCACCTGCACACTTTGTTTCAACCAGCAGTTGCCGTGTGCTTTGGCGGCAAGACTGAAGCGGTGACAGCCCATGCCTCGTAAATTCTGGGTGGGTTAGCCTCAGATATTTGAGCCGAACTCTACCAACGTTTTTTGGGGGAGGGTTCCCCTACTTCTGTAGACGACCGAAAAAAGGGTACCCTTATTCTAACCTCTTTACTGGAGGACCTAGACATATTTTGTGAAGGGCAGCTGGCTTCTGACGGACTTTTCGAGAAATGGGGTCGATGTCAAGCCGGGTGGGCAAGGAACCGCTCGGGTCATTTCTCCGCAGACGCTGTGCCAGTTGCTTGCTTCTTATTTTCCCATGAGCCAAACCGGCTCGCATGGCTGTGGGACTTGCCCTCGCGCCTCTCAAGCCATCCAGCTGGTTTAGTAAACGACGCTCAGACTGTCAAGATGTGGAGACCATCACTTTCCATCGAGGCAGCTTCCAAATCAGAAAAACAGCTTCGCATGAGAGCAGCTCAGTCCAAACGGGGCAAAAGGGGCACAACGCCTCGATCCCGAAGCCGGCGGCCGCCCGGGCCTCGGCTGGCGTCCTGTTCGCGCGGGGTTTTGGGAGTTCGTAGGTGAGGCAGGGGTTCGGTTAGGCCAGCCCGAAGGGGATGAATTGAGCGTTTCATATTCGTGATCTGTTTGACGTACCGTGGATGGACGAAATCCATTTCGCACCACCTAAGAAACCAGGAAATCATTGTTTGTTGGTAGTTAGGGAGGAATCATTGTTCCACGGTTTCTTCGGCGGTGCAGGATTTCGGCCATCCACAGTAGCGCTCACCAACTTGCGAGTTCGGGTTGGACAAGCCGACCTTGCTCATGAAGGACCCGTCCAAGAGGTGGATACTCCGTTTGGCAGCACTTCCCATTCAGGCTGCATATGTTTGGAGCATCAGGGGTCAACTATGCTTGTCTCGCAGCAATGATGGTTCTTGCCAAGATGCCTGAAAAGGGGGCTTTCCAAAGGAGGATCAGCCAAAGACCCATTTTTTTTAAAAACAAAAAAATCTTTTCGAGGGTCTGGGTGAGGGCACGGGTTGGATTGGTGGTGGGATGAGAAACCCCTGATCCTTGAGGGTAAAATGAGAAACTTTTGAACCGCCGAACCGATCCAAACCACCACTTGAAACGTGTCCTGGGTTCTTTGGAAGGAGAGCTACTGTGGATGGACGAAATCCAATTCGCACCACCGGGACAAAAAAAACACAAAAAACAAAAAACACAAAAAAGCCTGGAAGGATTCGAGTCCCCTGTGAACATCCAAGGAACAAATGCTTTCCCACTGTGACATGGATTTCGCAACCATCCACAGCTCGATGCTTCGGCCGAGGCCTCACATGCTGAGCGGCGTATAGGGAGCACCTCCGACAAAACGCCTCGCTCGATGCGGTCGGCACATATGGCTGTGGTGGTCAAAACCGTTTTGGGATCCCATTTTGGTTGGTAGGTGAATTCATCACCCATCTTAGAACCTATTTTAGTGGTTGGATTGGGATGTTTACTGGGGGTCGATTTGGGTTTTGACCCATGGCCTTATCCCGGCGGTCCGATTGACTCTCTAGATTCTCAGAAAAGCCAGGGGACGCCCAGGATCAGGGCGTCGTTTTTTTCCTCCTCCCTTTTTCCCCCCTTTTTTTCTTCATACTTTTTCAAAATTATTTTTTACGGGGAAAGCCCCAATGGTTGTTTACCTTTTGGCTTTCCCTGAAAGCGGGCCCAAAGGGGTACCCTCAAAACGACACCCATGTGGCCCATATGTATCTGGCTGTGGCACCTCTGGCTATTATGTTTTCAGAACCCCCCTCAAAGATGGTTGGAAGTAAAAGCCCATGTAAATGACGTCCGCCAAAGAGAGGCTCAATTTCCATAATACGATGTTTGACTTTCTTTGGTGTGGTCTGTGGCACAGTTCGGAGGCAAAACATTGGGAAGTCGGGGTTTCGGACTGACAGTTCAGCGAATCCGCCTTGACCGGAGGCGAGTCTGATGTCAAAAAGAGATCCTGGACACAATTGAGGGGCCACAGAGCTGTTAGGACAATCTAGGTATCTGGCACAAGTTGCATGGTGCATGTAGAGGTGCTACCGGATACGGAGGCCCTCCTTAGAGTCCCGTGGCCATTTTGCCGGCTTACTTTCAGGGCTAAAGGGTCAAAGAATTGGTCTAAGGATTCAACCAGCGGATTTCTATTCAGCACATGTACACCATTCTTCCCCACGCGTGTAACCGGACAGTTTCCCTTCCGCGCATGCTCGGACACGACATGCATCGACAGTTGAGACCTTTTTCAGGATGTTGATGGAAGTGCTTGCAGAACCGAAAATGAGTCGTAAGACGGCCAGTCGCTCAAGGATGTTCACTGGGGGTACGATTTGGGTTTTGACCCATGGCCATGTCTTGCAGGATGTGGCGACTGGGGCTCTTCCTTGTGGCCGCGGGTGCCAACTGCCCGGAGCCAAAGGCCTATGCGGGCCAGGCGGGAGGGGCTTGTGGCGGAGCAGTGCGGCGGGTGGCCGGCAGCTGGGTTGCCAGAAACAAAGAAAAAAAGATGGCTGCGGGTCAAATCCGTTTTGGGATCCCATTTTGGGGCAGGTGCACCACTCAATTTAGAACCTATTTTAGAGGGGATCGGGATGTTCACCGGGGGTACGGGATTTTGACCCATGGCCAGAAAAATCAAGCAATACGCACACCATGAGAAGAGATGAAGTTTGTTGTCAGAGCTCGGCAAAGGGTTAACCAAACATGGCTTGCAAAAGTGAAATCGAGCCCATTTAGGTCGCTTTGCGGTTTCTAGCACGCCTTGCTTCTTGGGTCGAAACAGTGAACCCTCAGGATCTACCAAGACATGGATGGAGGATCCTTATTGCAAAAAGCCTGAAAACTCAATCGCCCAAGAACGCATGGTGATTCCTCTTCCCCCCCAAAAAACATGGGATTCGTAAAACACAACCCAAACATGCTGTCCCCAGTAAGACCTTGGGACAGTTTAGGGCAACCGACATTCCGATTTGGCAGGGGTCCCAGCATTTTCACACATGGTTTCGTCTCAAAAAAGCGAAACCCTCATCCGTTTTTGGTTTCCTTTTTGGCTTCCGGTTAAAACCAACCAAACGGGGGTTCCCTAGAAAAAGACAAAGTCATATACAGCACCCGTTGCGAATTCCTCCACGGCCAGTCCCGGCTCCTGCCGACGAACGCTGTTTCGGACTGCCAGAGATTCTATGTGGGAAAGACCGGGCAGGCGGGGGCCGAAGCGACGATGGCCATGGTTCAACACCAATGGGATCCCATGTTGGGATAGGTGCACCCATTTTAGAACCTATTTTAGTGGTTGGATTGGGATGTTCACAGGGGTACGATTTGGGTTTTGACCCATGGCCCGATGACCTCCCGAATCCAAGGGTCACCCACTGACCTCTGCCCTCTCTGCCTCACCGGTTGGTAGAGCGGCTTCATGTTGAAGAACTTCAAGCGTTGAATTGTCGGGTTGTTGACTCGTTGATTCTTTGGAGCCTCAAGACCTTGTGGCCGGGTGTTTGCATCTTGGACCCCAAGAGGGGTGTACCTAGTCTCAGCTTTCAGCCTTTATGGTTCTGTCGTGACGCACAGGTCAACAGCTGATTGTATTCATTGCGCTGTTCTCCGTGAGTCACGTGAGTCACGTGAGCCACGGACAAAATGACTTGTTTCCTTGCGAGTCACCACTTGCCAAAAGATTGTATTCATTGCGCTGTTCTCCGTGAGTCACGTGAGCCACGGACAAAATGACTTGTTTCCTCGTCATTGCTTTGGAGTGCGTGACTTGTTTCTCCCTCAATTCCCAGTAAACCACGCACAACTCTCAAGCAACACGTGGAAATCTGTGTTCCCACTTGCAACATTCAGGGTGGCAAGCGTTGGGAACATCAACAAAGACAGCTGCCCTACGAAGCAGTCGTCTAGACCATTAGAGTTTGACAGCCCCCTACTACTCTGACTGTCAGATTGGGCTCAGGGACCCTCTCCGGCTCAGATCAGAAGCCTGCGGAGTTCTAGACGGAAGTACTGATTGGTTCAGGGCCACCGGGGCCGTAAGACGGGAAACAACCTCAACCTCAACTTGGACGTCACGGTAGGAAGCTGAATGAGCCTAGGCCAGTTTCGAGGCCCAATGTTGAGCTGCCAAGAAGCCACGGAGACTGAAGCGCAAAAAACAGTGGAACATATTATTCACCATGAACCCTAGACCTACCGAACATCACCAAGCAAAACCAATCGAAAAAAGGAAAAGAAGAGAAAAGAGACAAACCACACACACACACACACACACACACACACACACACACACACACACACACACACACACACACACACACACACACACACACACACACACACACACACACACACACACACACACACACACACACACACACACACACACACACACACACACACACACACACACACACACACACACACACACACACACACACACACACACACACACACACACACACACACACACACACACACACACACACACACACACACACACACACACACACACACACACACACACACACACACACACACACACACACACACACACACACACACACACACACACACACACACACACACACACACACACACACACACACACACACACACACACACACAACACACACACACACACACACACACACACACACACCCACACACACACACACCACACACACACACACACACACCCACACACACACACACCACACACACACACACACACACACACACACACACACACACACACACACACACACACACACACACACACACACACACACACACACACACACACACACACACACACACACCCACACAAACACACACACACACACACACACACACACACACACACACACACACACACACACACACACACACACACACAAACACACACCCACACACACTCACACACACACACACACACACACACACACACACACACACACACACACACACACACACACACACACACACACACACACACACACACACACACACACACACACACACAAACACAAACACAACACACACACACACACAAAACACACACACAAACACACAAACACAAACACACACACACACACACACACACACACACACACACACACACACACACACACACACACACACACACACACACACACACACACACACACACACACACACACACACACACACACACACACACACACACACACACACAAAACCACACACACACACACACACACACACACACACACACACACACACACACACACACACACACACACACACACACACACACACACACACACACACACACACACACACACACACACACACACACACACACACACACACACAAACACTCAAACACACACACACACACACACACACACATCTCAACCCAAGCCCCACCCCAGCCAGGGCCCATAGCAAGTCCTTCGCCAGGAGGGCTGCCCACGCGGCCTTGGGGAGGGCACAGCGAAGGGCGGTGGACCTTTGGCGGCAGGATGGTTCATAGCTGCTGATGGACTAAATCTTGCACCAAGTTGAAATCAAGGGAAGCCATTGGTTGTTGGTATTTACAGGGCAACCATCATTCCAGGGTTTCTTAGCTGGTGGGTTTCGTCCATCCACAGCTGCCAACACGACTTGGGAGCCCGGCCACCCGGAGGACTGGGAGTTGGGAGGCCCAGCAAATGCTTCGCCCCCCCAAAAACGAGACTCATCTTTTTCCGCCAAGCCACCAGAGGGCGCGCGCCGAACTGTTCGATTGCGTCTTGGGGAAGCAAGTCATTTTGTCCGTGGCTCACGTGACTCACGGCGAGCGCCATGAGCTCGATCTGTTGGCTGCCGTTGGGGAATCAACCATTGGAGGCAGCATCTGCGTCTCAAAACGGGTGCCTCTCGTCAAATCGGTTGCGCACGCAGACCTTCAACCGGAGGGATGCCGGGCATTTTGTTTGATACAGGGCCAAGAACTTGGGGGATGTTCGGAAGTTGATTCCTTCATCCTGTCAGAGGCTCGTGATTTACCTTGGGACCAACATCCTTATGTCAGATGGTAGTGTTTTCCCTTATTGGGGGTCCAACGCAATCAGGAGAATTTCAAGATTTTCAACACAGTTTAGAGGATCCAGCGCATCCTTTTCAGGAGACTGGGCTGGTTGCCAGGTGCACCTAGTTTTTGTTTTTGTAACCCTAATCCTAGGGTTTCCCCCCCCCCCCCCCCTGCCATGGACTCCTAGAGTATATGTTGCAGCCCAGAACCCTAGAAAATCAATACTCAAAACCATTTTTCCTCAAAATAGACCCTGAGTGTCCATCATCCCCCCCCCCCATTTTTGAGCACCCCATCTGCCAAGCTCTGCTGCCCATGGACGTGCGGGCGGTGTACTACGTGCCGCGACCCATCGGCATCTCCTCCGGCGCCAAGGAGATCCGGTCGCCGTGTTTCGGAAGTTCATTTTCGTTTTTTCGGCGGGGGGCGAGCCCTGGCATGTCAAGAATTGAGCTCCCCACTTCTGAGGTAGACTTAGGATACATTTTGCATTTGACCAGTGACTCAAAATGAAGCAAGCACTAAAATATACATTCTCTAACTGGGCCTAACTCTAGTCATGACTTGGGGAGTGTCCCTTTTTTTAAGGTTGGGCAACCAAAATGAGCGGTTTTCCTTTTGGGTTCGGTTTAAAACCTAGCAAAAGAAGGGTACCCTCCAAAAGACAGATTCATTTGGATTTCCTTTTAATGAAGGCTAGACAAATGGAAGCAACCCCGTCTCAATGGGTTGCAACCCTCATGGTCCCTGGTGTAGCAAAGAAGGATCGTGCACATGGCTCTCTTGTAATGCTTGCACTGCCATGAACTACCGTGAAGCATCCGTACAAAGGGCTGCACAGAGCCTTGCTCACAAGGTGTAAATAGCCAGTTCGTCCTCAGCCCGCGGGTCTTGCTGAAGCCTCCTGTGGAAAAGAACACCCAACAGCTTTCAAGACAAGATCTGCAAGAAATCGCATGCGGTGGATTGTTGGCGTGGGTATCTCATTGTCCCCAAGGGTTCTGGGGGCAAGCCTTCTGGGATCCGGTATCGTGAGCCGCCAAGAAGCAACTGGCTCTGTGCCCCTTCCGGGCTTTGATTCGAAGAAGCCCAAGGAACATTGTGCGCTGAGGGCCCCCCCCCAACTTGGACATGCACAAACAGGGTGTCAAATACAGCGAGCTGGCTTGGCGATGGGATAGAGTCAGTGCCTAAGCAGGCAGCACGTTCGGGACAAAAACAGTTTGTTCCATTTCTGAATGCCTGTTGATGCGTTCATGCAGTTTGGAGTGGGAATTTATTGAGCCAGCGTGGGCTTCGTTTATTTATTTATTTATTTATTTATTTATTTATTTATTCATTTGTTTTGTGTATTTAGGTGTTATTTTCATTTCTTTTTGACGCACATACACACACACACTCACACACACACACACATACATACGTACACCACCGCTACTTGATCATGATTATGTCAGTCCTTTGCTGCACTTTGTGCTCGAAAGTCTAGCCGCGAACTAGAGTACTCGTCGCCTGCAAGGAAACAGGTGGCTTGACAAGAGGTAGACAGACTTCACCATTGTTGCTTACTCGCTAGTCTCTGTTGACCTTTTGCTTTTGCTTGTGGCAAGTGAGAACCCCGGACAAATGAGTTTCCTGCGCAGTTTGGTAGAGTCAATGAACGTAACCAACCGAATGGGTCTGTCTTTTCAGAGAGTACCTTTTTTTGGTGGACTTAAAGGGAAACCAACTGGAGAACCAAAGCCATTTTGGGTGGTCCAACCTTAGAAACGACAGACCCAAACTTCCATTTACTTAAGAGTGTGTGTTATTTCCCCTGTTAGGTTTAAAGTTGGAATCTGTCACTACTGGACACATGTTTTTCATTTTTTCCAGGGGTCTTCAGCAAATGGAAGCTTGGTTTTCCCCCAACACCAACGGCAGATTTTGTTTTGTAGGGGGCTTAAAACCAAAACAACCAACACAAAACATACAGACCCTTTTGTTTGGCTCAGAAAAGAAAAAAAAAAAACAAAGACACACACACACAAAATCATAAGAACAATACCAGACCCATCTGCTTCGCACATCCGCTGCGCAGCCCGGAGCGGGAGGATCTCTATACAGTGGCCTTTAAGGAGCTTCACAAGCGGGACCTCTACCTCATCGCCAAGGCTTGGGCAAGGTAAGACGTGGTGACGACTCAAACATTTGGAGCGCGGAGCGCGGATTTTAGCCACCCCTTGGAAGTTTTTTTGGGGGGGACCTGCTTTTTTTCATGACTTCATAAATATGGAGCGCAAGAGCGGAACCGCGGGATCTCGGCGAATTTTGGCGGGCCCTTCTTTTTTTGGGGGCTTGATTTAGAGGAATCAAACTCATTTGGGGGGGGGGGGGCAGAGGGGGAGGGAGGGGAGGACCCTTTTTTTTGGGCTTCCCTTTTTGGCAAGGGTTGGGGCCGAGAGAAAGCTGGAAACTGTGATTTGAAGAGCGGGGAAACGAAGGGCTTGATCCAAAAGCCGAAGCAACGAGATGAGCAAGCGATGTTTGGGGAACTTTTTTGGGTGCTTAAAAGGGGGATCGGGTACTTAGGTAGTAAGCCTGGGTCATAACCAAAATTACACACACACACACACAGCCACATGTCAGGCACCTCAACTGCTCACTTGCTGATATCCATATTCCACCGAGGGAGTACACGCGGCTCGCCAGGTGTTGCGTGCCAACACTTTGCGACTGGAGCCATGGGACAACAAGGAGCAGCGTGTATCACATGCCATCTATGCCTTCTCATTGCAATGGTCGAAACACCTTTTACTTGAGGTTACTAGAAAGGGTCAGGAACCCTTTAGTATTTTGCAATCAGGCACACAAACGGTCCCTGTGAATGGGCCATGACCGACTTAAGTAGTTTGTGACCATGGCGCATTTGGGCAAGACTCTCCGAAGGAAGGGGGAGAAGATCGCAGTTCATCATCCCCCAGATTTGTGAAGTATTCAACTCAGAGCGCCACAAGTCGTGCAGCGGTCTGACGCACTTTTGTGTTTCAGGAGGACCACTCGAACTTCTTGGAGCAATGCAGGCGCGCTGGCTTTGGCTTGCCTTGGGGTGCTGTGGGAAGCGGCGAGCGCCAATGCACTGGCCCCTATTGGTTCAACTCAAGCAGAGACGATGAAGCTTGAGGGTCCAGCATGTTCAGACACATATATATATATATATATATATTTATACATGTATATGTACGTGGAAGAAACACATGCATAAGATACCCATTTCACGTGCGACAGCTTGACACGGCTTTCCGTCTTCACTGGAGGCTGTCGTTCCATGGATCTTTTTGGCGCCTGGTCCACTGGTGCCCAGGGACCTTGGCCTCTTTGTCATTCCCACCTTCGACATGAGGTATTTCTTCCAGGACCGGGCTCCGTTCTTCATATTTTTTTTGGGACCCTGGCCGCAAGGCTGGAAGGCCGTTCGCGAGGGACGGGTTCCGTTCTTCTTTCTTCTTTTTTTTGGGGGGGACGGAGCTGGACGGCCGAAGGGGAAGATTCACCCCACCCCGGCCGCAAGGCCGCAAGGCCGCAAGGCCACAAGGCCGCAAGGCCGCAGGGCAAGCGCGTTTCCTGCAGATGTTGCCCCAGCATCCGAATTGGTTCGCCGCAGGTCCCCAACAAGGGGTCCGCGGTTCTTTGCTCCGCTCTCGGGGAGCGCGGAGTAAGACGCATGAGCGCTTACTCAAAGTCCGTCTGACATGTTTCGGAATCAAACAACGATGCTTGGATTGTGGATGAACTTGACACAGAGAGTTCTGAAAATCAGAGACCTCTCAAAGCGCGTGGCTGAAAGATGGAGCGAAGGGATGGCATCTTTGGTCACCACCCCCATCCCCCTCTTCCATTCTCCATAAGCTTTGACTGTGGCCCCCGGTCTTGTATTTTCCGAAGGTTTTCCTGGAACATACACACGGCGCTTGCTCCATGGGGAAATATTATCCGGGTGAAAGGAGCGTTCAACCCTTGAGTGGCTAAACTTGAGCCCGTCCGATTGATCCGTGGGCTTCGCATCGATTTGATCGCCAGGAGCAGTGGTTGAGGAGCGACTCCTTGGAGCGCGAGAAGGAGATGCTGAGGCACTTTGACCGGCTTCTCCTGAACGCCGTGCCCTCAGCGGCCCAAAAATGCGCCCAAAACATGCGCCCAAAAAGCGCCGAGACAGTCTATATACCGCCTTCTCGGTGGTTTAGGAGATGACGGCCCCCACCTACCAAATCACCATGTATGGCGGTAAACTCTTTGTATGCCCGCAGCGGATGATGCAAGTTTGCCAACACAATGCTTGGGAGCAAACCATTCCTTTGAGCTTGGGCCATAGTCATCGTTTTAGAATATTTGGCACGTTAGCGAATGGTGCTGTGGCTTGGAAAGCAGCCCCAAAGGACACCAACCATGAGAGGTTGGACGTGTCATTGAGCACACATGTACATCGAGCATAGGTGGAGCCTCCAGCTCTCAAATAGACTTGGTGTCGTTTGTCCTTCGGGATCTTGCATGGTGTGGCACAACATGGGTTTGGGGGGCCAGCCGCTCGGGAGAGAGCTGGACACAGATGTTGGTATCCAGATGTTGGTATCTGGCGTCCTTCTTGTTTTGTAGGTGCACCTTCTTTCGATGAGCAGTGCACAAGTTTCACTGCATGTGGATCGACTGCCTGATTGGATGTCTGGAAGTCATACAGGCGGAGTGACTTGATAAACAACAGGAGCAAAGAAGCTTGCATGGCTTGAAGCAAATCGGCAAACCCACAGAGAGATAATGAATTATTATTGTTAAGATATGCTTTTGCACTTGATGCATACATCGTTACTTAATATTACAGTTATCAGATCTAATGTCCTTGCCCCGCCATCAGTTGTTCAGTGGCATTTTTTTCTCCTTTCTTTTCTTTTTTCCGGTGGCTGCCCCACCTTTTTTCCCCAGATAGCTGAAAGCTATAGGGGTTCTAACTTCTAATAAAGAAGGGAAAGTGATTTGCGAGATTGAGGGCCGGGTGCTGGGGGGCATGCAGTTTGGGGTGCTGGTGGAGGTGCTGGTTTGCGAGCTTGACGGCCGGGTGCTAGGGGGCATGCAGTTTGCAGTGCTGGTGGAGGTGCTGTTTTGCGAGATTGACGGACTTTGGCTAGGGGGCATGCAGTTTGGGGTGCTGGTGGAGGTGCTGTGTTGCAAGATTGACGGCCAAGTGCTAGGGGTCATGTATTTTGGGGTGCTGGTGGAGGCGCTGTTTTGCGAGATTGACGGCCGGGTGCTAGAGGGCATGCAGTTTCGGGCGCCGGTGGAGGTGCCGCTTTGCGAGATTGACGGCCTGGTGCTAGGGGGCATGTAGTTTGGAGTGTTAGTGGAGGTCCTGTGCGAGATTGACGGGCGCTGGGAGTCATGCAGTTTCGGGTGCTGGTGGAGGTGCCGCTTTGCGAGATGGGGGCATGTAGCTTGGAGTGTTAGTGGAGGTCCTGTTTTGCGAGATTGACGTCCGGGCGCTAGGAGTCATGCAGTTTCGGGTGCTGGTGGAGGTGTGCGAGATAGGGGGCATGAAGTTTGGAGTGCTGGCGGAGGTGCTGTTTTGCGAGATTGACGGCCGGGTGCTAGGGGGCATGCAGTTTCGGGTGCTGGTGGAGGCGCCGCTTTGCGAAACTGACGGTCGGGTGCTAGGGGGCATGCAGTTTGCGGTGCTGATTAAGGTGCTGGTGCCTGTGCTGTTTAAGGCGCTGATGGACAGCGGGGGGCACTCCGTTTGGGGTGTTGTTTGAGGTGCTGGTGATGGTGCAGGCGCATTCTTGCAAGATTGACGGCCGCATGCAGTTTGGGGAACTGATGCAGCTGTTTTGGGGTACTGTTTGGGGTGCTGCTTGAGGTGCTGAGTACGTGACGGCAGGGTGCTCGGGGACGTGTCCGGTGCTGGCGCGGGTGCTGCGTTGGGGTGCTGTTGGGGCTGCTGTTTTCGGGTGTTGGTGATGGTGCGGGCGCATATGGATGGCAGGGTGCTAGGGCGGGTGCTGTTTGGGGTATCGTGGTTGTCGCGTCATCATGATGCTGGCCGCAGCATCATGATGCTGTCAGCAGCATCATGATGCTGTTGAACCGATTCGGACGTTGTTGCCGCTCTAACTGTCGCGCGTAATGGTTCGTGGCTGGTGTATCATCATGATGTTGTCAACCACGTTACGATGCTGCTGCAATCGCCGCGATGCCGCGTTACGGTTTGTGGGTGTGGTGGCGGGCATAGTGCGGTCAACATCAAGATGATGCTGAATTTCATTACACTGTCGCAAGATGATTCGTGGCTATGGTATGATCAAGATGCTGCCTTTGCCATCACCATGATGCTTTGAGCATCACCATGATGCTGTCCGCGTCATCATGATGCTGTCGAACTCATGGTCTGGCTTGTTGTGCGCTGCAGCTTCGCTCGCCTTCGCTGACAGCCTCACTTCCTTGCCCTCCCCTGGCCTGAGCAACCTTGATGGGCCTTGCCCGGACTTGACTGACCTTCTCGCTGCATGCCCATCTTCCCCTGGGGCGTCGCGGCTGCCGGCCCGGTAGCCGTCGTGTGCACGCGAGGTCGCTGCCCTCCGTAAAAACAGCGTGCAGGTGAGGAAACTGGCCTCCGAAAAAACAGTTTGCAGAACCCTGGTGCCCGGGGCCCCCCTTAATTGCGACAGAAACGCTAAAAACCAAAAACAAAACTCATCAGGGCGTCGTCTCTGACTTTTTTTGCTAGATATGTAGCGCGGAATCGTTCGTGGCTGGTGTATCAGCATCATCCTGTCAACATCATTGTTTTGCTGATGGGCTCACTAGGACGTTGTCTGCGCGTGTATGTAGCGCACTATGCTGAGTAGCTGTGGTATTTTCATGATGCAGTCAACATCACCAAGATGCTGTAAAGTAAACATCATCATCATCATCATCATCATCATCATCATCATCATCATCATCATCATCATCATCATCATCATCATGCCGCGGGAACCATTATGATGCTGCGTCATGGTTCGTAGCCGTGGTGTGCTATCTGGGGTCTATGCTGGTGTATTTTTTTTTAGGGTTCCCGTTTTTTTCCAGGGTCACTGAACAACTGAATGCCAAGGTGAAGAGCAAAGATCCCATCTTGGCCTGGACGGTGAACCACGCCCTGCCTCTCAATGAGACCATCGCCAAGACCCCCAAGGACCGTTCCGTTTTTCCGCGCGCTGACCGCTCGCGGGGAGTGGCCGGTTCGGCTAGCCCATGCCCACTCTTCGTTGCCCGCGATTTGCCCAGAAAGCGAAGCGAAGCGAAAAAATGGCACCATAGGTGTCCTGTTTGGTTGTTTTGCTCAAAAAATAGAATGGTGATTCCTGGTTTACCTGCTGAATTTAATCATCTACCAGGGCCATTTGTTTCCCCTAAAAGGACACCAGGTTTGGAACTTAAGTTTGTTCTGGCCCATCTTTCTCTGTTGAAGCCATGGTCCGTGCCGAGTCACGAGGTTAGAGATGATTATCCTTCTGTCAGTAAGGAATGCGTACTGCGGACGGCTTTTCAGGGCGCCATCCGTGGCAGTTTCAACCAAGGCATTCTCAGACCCACCAGAAGCCAGGAGTAGCTCAGCACCAGTGCCATTCGTGCGGGATTGGGCTCGTTGAGCTGGTAGCAGAGCCTCTCGCTTTCACAGCTTGCCCTTGTGAAGCGTGCAGCCCTCGTCGCTTTTGGTGAAGCGTCCAAAAGCGAAACGCGAGGCTCATAGGTGTCCTTTTTGGTTGCTTTGGTCTAAACACAGCTGGCCCTGGCTTTACCTGGTGGTTTCATCATCTACCGGGGAAACCCATCTATGTCTTCCCTTAAAGGACACCTGTGGCGAAGCTTCCAGGGCCATCACTGGTGAAGCCCCCCAACTCGCCGGCCGTTTCGACACCGGGTCTCGAGGACTCGTGGCAAGCGGACGACTCCAGGCCCGAGCCTTCAGGAGGGCATTTTGAGGTTTTGGCCATCACTTTGGACCAGGTGACCTGAAACTTTGGGGCCCCCCCAACCCCCCCTCTTCCCTCCCCCCTCTTCCCTCCCCCCCTTCCCTCCCCCCTTCCCTCCCCCCCTTCCCCCCCCCTTCCCTCCCCCCTCCAGTGTTGGAGCAGTGCGGGCAACGCCTTTTTCCCGTTGCGTGAGGGCCGCGGGAGGCCCGAAAGCTTTTGAGTCCCAAGGCGCAAGATCTACTTCTCGATGGTGGCGGCCCTCAGGAAGGGCCACTACCGCAGGGAGTGGCTGGAGGACAGGGTTTGATTCATTTTCCCTGGGTCCCGGCTGGGACCCTTTTCCCCTGTATGGTAGAGAAAAGGCCGTACGGCCCTGGGGCAAGCCTGGATAGTAAATGGGAAGAGGGTTTTTGGGCCCTCCATGGGTTGTGGTTGCCCTTGAGGAAGTCGGGGTTCTGCATTGGAGGGTCATGACCCTTAGGCTTGGATCAAACAGGAGGTGCCTTCGCCCAATTGTTTGCGCCTTGCGGCTTCGAGCCGATGTTCGTCGAGCTTGGATCTTGGGTCGATCTCTCAGAGTTCTTTGCTCCTGAAAACAGTCATTGTCCGAGTTTTTTCCTTGTACATTCAGAGTGAGCGCACCCAGTGCTGCCCAAACCACTGGGTGGAGGATGCGAACCACGTGTTGGGCACTCGGTTTTTATTGCAAGTTCTGGCCTGGCCAGCCCCGAGCAGCCCCCCCCAGGCCAAAATTTGGTGCACCAGTCGCTTTGGCGCATGCTTTCGATTGCTATTTGCACATTCGATCGGCTCCGCATTTTTCCCTTCGGCGCTTTTCTTGCGCCAACTCGTGTTTTCTTCTTCTTTTTTCCCCCCCGCGGCCCACCGCCGGCCGCGGCTTCGCGCGGCTCCGCGGCCGGGAACCGCGGGGAGCGGAGAGGACCAGGCGGAGTTCATGCGGCCGCTGCTTCTGCCGGTGGACCTGGACTCCCGGACCAGCGACACCGACGTGGCGTGGTACCTCGCGCTGGCCCGGGGGCCCAAGAGGAACGCACTCCGGGGCAGTTCGGGCGGGCGCGGTTCCCGGCGCCGGGTTCCGGGAACTCCGGGAACTCCCCCTCCGTTTTCTTGTTTTTTTTTTTTTTTAACGGGGGGGGGGGGGAAATCCGGATCCCCCCGTGCCGTTTTTTTTTTGGGGGGAGGGGGGGTCCGGTTTGTAGGTAAGAAGGGATTTTTTGAGGGTTTTTTTTTTGGGGGTGGCCCTTGAAGGAATTGAGACCAAGACTTGACGGTTCCTCTGGAAGCTATGACTTTGACCCCAGAATGAGTTTCGGCCATGGCACGTGCGAGTTGAGATCTTTAGACAGCCCGTCAAGTCATTGTCGCATTTGTTTGAAGATATGCCGTGTGACGAAACAAGTCGGAGCCCTCAACATGCCTTACCTGGGGTTTGATTCAGGCTGGTGCAGAGTCATATATTCCGCCAGAAAGCCCCAAACACACCCGAAAATAATCTCCAGAAGCCGCGCTGCGGTCTCCGACGCCTTCCCCCTTGAAGCTGGGGTGGCAGGGTTGGCGTCTTCCCTCGCACTTGGCAGGCGCAACACACACACACACACACACACACACGGAGGAGAAGTGAGATGGAGCCGCACAAATTTTCAGGGAGGGTTGAGGCAACCGAAACGTGTGGGAGCAAGGGCCGGGGCTTTTTTTTTGCCCCGCTTTTCTTTGGGGGGGTCACGATGCTTGCAGTTCAGCACAGTCGGCTCTGGGAAGAACTTGCAGTTCAGCGAGCAAGTTGTGGGAGTGCTTTTGCTTTCATGCCTCCCATTCCCCAGAAACCGCAGCCCTCTGTTTACGAACAAATTTGACCTCTCCTCGGCGTCGGGTCGACTAGGGTCGACCACTGGGGTCCACTGAGTCGAGGCGGAGACAGCGTGGGCCACCTGGCCTACGGAGTTCAAGGATGCCAAGGAGCCGAGTTCCGGGAGGGAAAGAAAGAAAGATCTTGGTCTATTCCAAGCGGATATCACTAGTGTGGGGGTTGGTTTTTGGGTCGCGGGGAGGACTGGTTGCTTTGCGCCTTTTCGCCCACTACCCAATCAGGTGAGATGGGACAGAGCGAGGTGATGGGTAAAGGGCTCACGGGCGCTGAGACTGGGCTCAGGGTGGACGAAATCCTGCACCACTTGGAAACCATAGCCAACCATTGTTTCTTGGGAAGCATCACCCCAGGGTTTTTCAGGTGGTTCAGGATTTTGTTCATCCACAGTAGGAATTCCTGTGTGCGACAGGGGGAGAGCCTCCCGCACATTGCTCGACATTTTTCTTATCTTAATGCCCACCTTCCGGGTGACCTTCCCATCGTAAATCCAGCCCGAACCCGTGAATTGGGTTCTTGGCTATGCAATCGCGAGTCAACCCATGAGAGGTAACATCAGGTGACCATTCCATGGTAGGCTGTGGATTCTGCTCTGTTTGGCAGCTTTGTGATCTCATTTTTTTACAGCATGGATATCAACGTTTGGCGTATGCTGGTGTATCCACCTGGATTTTGTGGCCGTATGAGATGCTTGACCTGCCAATATCACTTCAGTTTGAAACACATTTCGCGGGGCAGTTGAGTAAGTTCTAGGATGATGGAGGGGGTTCACCCATCCAATATCCTTGATTGTTTGTCATCCAAGTGGCTTCGGCCGGCTTTGCCTGCAATGAGTTTAGAAGAGAGTTCCGTCTACCTACCAGAACAGATCAGATCTCCGGTTGCACGCTGATCTTTCATCTCGCTGCAACACTTGCTAGCTTCGACCGTGTTTCGGGGTGAGGCGGTCAAAGCCGTCAGCATACTGCACGGGCACAAGGGTGGGTCATTAATACGCACCCATTGCGCCATCCATTTCATTTCTTGGGGCGCCCAAGTTTCATGGGATCTGATTTCCCCTGCCTTCCCAAGCCAAAAGGGTCGCCTCAAACAAGCCCAAAGCCTTCCCATGGCGCGCAAGTCGAGGGGTGGCCATCGTAGAGGAGATGCAAAGCCTGAAGGAGCTGGGGGCCTTCGATGGATGGATCGGGTACACCACGCCGGCCAGCTCTCACCAGGGTCTTGACGAGACCACCAACCAGGCCGTGGGCAGTTTGGGCGGTTTTGGGGACACGAAGGGGCCAAACAGAAGCAAACCAAGGGGGAACTCGAGGAGGACTAGCGACCAGAGTCTTGTGTTCCTAGATCAAGGGAACATTGCAAGATGAAGAAGTCTGCTCTTCGTGGTGAGGGGGAAGACTCATTTTTCCCGAGCTGAGCGCTATAGGGTCTTTGCCCAGATTGGCTCCGGGGTGGTTCTGGGGCAGGCTTCTTCTAAGGAGGGTTTCGGGGACACACCGGGGCGGTGAGGAGAGTTCCAAGTAGAGTTTCGGGAATGCAGGGGGCAGTTCCGAGGAGGTTTTGGTTTGGAGGAGGGATCCGTAGATGGGCGGTTCTGGACTTCTGGGATGCATGGGGCCGGTCTAGGAGTGCGAGCAAATGTGCCTCGTGCTTTGAGGATATGGCCATGGGGTATAACCTATGGCGATCCCATTTTGGAGTGGATGAACATCCATTTGCCACCTATTTTGATGTTCACCAGGGGTACAGGGTTTTGCAGCCATATCACCCGATGATTTTTGGAGAGGGCTGACTCCTTGAAAAACGCACCGGACGATGGGCAAGTGAAAGAGCAGGCTTGCAAGGTCTGTGATGGAACTGTTCAGAGTGCCACAGTCACACCTCGATGCGTGAGAGGCTGTGCCAGGTTCTGGGCACACTCCTGAGGGGGACAGTGTTTGATTGAAAGGAAGCTTCATCTCCGTGCAAACTGAGGGGAGTGAGGTACCCTCCCACCAACTAACATGGAACCTGAAAAGGGGGGGCCTGAAAGACCAGTTCCTTTTCAAGGGACCCCCTGTCAGGTTCCATGTTAGTTGGTGGGAGGGTATGTCTCATCACGAGTAAATCCTCTTCTGGCGCATTTGGAGGGACCCCGTTTTGTTCTTGTTCCGAATAGGTGGTTTGCTTTTGAACGAAACATCGAGCTCTTGGCTAATCATCTTGCTGGTGCTCCGTAGGGAATGACCTTTGTGGGTTTCAGGAATGAACCGGACGGGGTTC